ATTACCAAATCACCGTTGCGGATATTTAGCCTAGTGTGCCATGAAAAACAAGCCTTCTCAATGAGTTCTTGTCAAAGACTCACTTGTTTACCTCACTTGATGCATGTGAGCAAATAATTATCCATGACCGGTCTCGCTGAGACACCCTGTATATAAAATATATACAAATATATATAAAATATGTATAAATATATATAAAATATATATAAATATATAAAATATGTATAAATATATATAAAATATATATAAATATATAAAATATGTATAAATATATATAAAATATATATAAACATATATAAAACATATATATAAACATATATAAAATATATATATATTTATATATAGATGAAATTGCAAACTGTTTTCTTAAAAAATTTAAAGTTTATTTTATTTACGAATATTATTTATATATGTCTTTATGAGTAAAATGACGTAGTGATGTATTGATATTAACAACGATTAAAATTTGTATATAATATAAAAAATGATATTTATTTAATTTATTGTGGCGTCGCGACGCATCTAACGACGTCCAGATCCCAACACCGTTCAATAATTTATTTCTTTATACATGAATATACATAGATTTCGTCATTCACTCTGCGTGTCGATCCACGTGAAGTATTCATAATCAGAAGGAGTCGATTTTGTGCGTTTTTAAAATATATCTTCCATTAATCAAAGGAGTGATGTAAGTTTCGATTGATACTTTTGATTTTCTGAAATGATTCTTTGTATTATATAAAAAATTTTAATATTTATATCTTAAAATTTGAAAGCAACGAAATTAACCGTTTAAAGTGAAAGCATGTAACGAGATGAATAAAAAAAAATCATAAAACATGGTGGATGAATTTCACTTAATTTTAAGTTTTAGTTAATTTATAAAAAAAGTAAGTCGACGCGAAAACATTTTGCAACCTTATCCCTATACGATAATAAAATTTCAATTCGAGATATAACAACGCGTCTAAATAGCATTTGTTTAACCGGACAATTGCGTTTTCGTTTTTGTTTAAACCCGTTCAGACGCGCAACAAGCCGCCCAATATCTAAATCGTTTATTTATTTATTGCGTCTGGACGCGAGATAACAACTCAGTATGTATAACATAAATGACAAAAGTCTTTGTCGTCGTGCAAAACGAAAATATGTTTTTCAAGCGCGCATTTTATCAAAACAATTACTTTATAATACCTAGTATATGCAACATTACATTTTTATTTAATATCATTAAACGATGTCTCAATTGTAAGTTAAAAAATAAAGTAAGTTAAATTATAATTCGATACGTTAATTAATTAAAATTAACAAAATCAATGAATCGAAGCAACAGCTATGCTTGTAACATCTTCAACATATTAAATATTAGATAGACAATCGATTTCAAAATCGGTTACTAAATGTATTTGGTAACCTCATTTTATGCTTGACGGTCCTGATTGTAGCACCTCGGCTATTTTGTATATAGGTATGTATATATTAAACCTGCTACACGCAATAAGATTGTTTTGGTTCAAGAGTTCTGCAATATATATAAGCAGAAATACTCAGAACTGATAATATGTCTTGGAAGTAATAAGTGTTAGATACACAATCGGTTATAAAACCGGTTAGTCAAAGTATTTTATACGAGGCTACTTGAGACCGAGGCGCTATATTTAAAACCTGCAACATTCATTATATCTTGAAGATATTAAAAACAACTTCAATTATATATATATAAAAAAATATACAGGGTGGTTCAGTTTTTAATCGGGAAACTTTACTAGGACGTAGTACTTGCCAAAATAACACAAGTTTTTTATATAAACATAGGGTCGCAACTCCTTTGTTTTCGAGCTATGAGCTGTCAAAGTTGAGCCAAAAATTGACATTTTATCTTTTATTTCGGGTATAAGTAAACCGTAGAATTTGAAATTTTGTATGTATGTACTACTGGTTAATACCTTATTTTCAACCATACCTTATACTTCCCTAGCGCCCTCTAAGGGGATGAAATTCACAAAAATTCACCAACCTTAAAGATGATTGTACTGTAAAGCGCTGATATTATTAATAAAAAAAATTTCTTTATAGCTGGCTATGGAAGTTATGCACTTACTAGGATCTAGTACTAACTAAATAACACTAATTAATTGTGATTTTCATAAGAAAAATCATAAATAAAATGGATGTCTGTCTGAACAAATTATGTTGTTTTAAACAATATTAAAAAATTGATATTCTTGCTTAATAACAGTCAAAAATTATTAATAATCATCAACAATTATGAGGATAACAACCCATATTTTTTTATGTTAATAAAATAATAATAATATAAATAATAATCTCTTAGTGTTAAAAGGTTCTTATAAAAAAAATCAAGGTGGTGAATTTCATCACTTTAAAGGGCGCTAGGGAAGCGACCCTATGTTTATATAAAAAACTTGTGTTATTTTGGCAAGTACTAAGTCCTAGTAAAATTTCCCGACTAAAAACTGAACCACGCTGTATAAATATATATAAATATATAAAATATGTATAAATATATATAAAATATATATAAATATCTATAAAATATATATAAATATATATAAAACATATAAATATATAAAATATGTATAAATGTATATAAAATATNATATAAATATATAAAATATGTATAAATATATATAAAATATATATAAATATATAAAATATGTATAAATATATATAAAATATATATAAACATATATAAAACATATATATAAACATATATAATATATATATATATTTATATATAGATGAAATTGCAAACTGTTTTCTTAAAAAATTTAAAGTTTATTTTATTTACGAATATTGTTTATGTCTTTATGAGTAAAGTGACGTAGTGATGTATTGATATTAATAATGATTAAAATTTGTATATAATATAAAAAAAGATATTTATTTAATTTATTGTGGCGTCGCGACGCATCTAACGACGTCCAGATCACAACACCGTTGATATTACGTAACCCGAAGGTGACCTGTCAGGGCTCTGATTGGTGACTCACAGAGGGTGTTGTCCTCGCCCCCCCTTCTCCCGTTGTGACCGCCGACGTCGGCTTCCCCACCACGTCGTCGCGACGCGCCGAACCGACTACACGCGGTATATGCCAACTGAAATCAGTAGTTTTCGAACTGCGCGAGTGAGCGGAATTGCTAAAGTAATTGAACGGAATTATATATACATTTTTTCTAAATAAAGTGCGAAGGAATTGTTGTCGCGTATCCGTCAAGATAAAATATTGTTTATTTTCGACGAATTTGTTAGAAAATTAACAAACGCAAAACTGTTTTCTGGAAAGGAAGTTGTTATTGCCGGTACGTTTTAATATTTTTTTATTGTTGAAAAATCAAAAAAATTTTTTTTTTCGAAATTTTTTCTAAAACCCAGTTTGAGTTAAAAAAAAGTTTCTTATACACTTATTTGACTCTATTTAATTATTTTTTAATAGTTTGCAAACGAAATTTTTTTTTTGTTTACTTGGGCCGTATGCAAACTCGTAAGAGATTTGAAATAGGAACAAAGAGGGGGATTTTGTAACGCGAATTATGTAATAATGCGGCGAGATACAAGAGGTGAACTAGAATCCCACTACCCTACTTAAGCTCGGTTGCCTCACGTTATTCGGTGTTAACACTCTTCGGCCAAGCGTAGAACGCGAAGACCTCTTCAGCTCACTATTCGTACCAACCACATAGTTATAATATAAAGAGAGAATCGTCCGAGTGAATCACACTAAAAAGAGAAAAACAATATACTTATTAAATGCAATTCTTTGTTTGACGATGATCGTTTTCGAGAAATCCGGTGGCTATTATTAAACGTAATCGTGATACGTAATGGGAAGTTCCCGAAAACTGTTTTTCCGCGAATCTTTTGTAACATATTTAGTGTCTAGCAACATGGTTTTCTCTGTTGTATACCGTTCGTTTTGATCATTCTTGCGGAACGGAGTCCGTCGAAATTGCGTAATACCGCCGCGGCGCCTTATCGCGTCTATTAAATAGAGCGACACCTACGCGATCGAAAATTTCGAAAAATGCGCGTCGAATTGGAGCGGGGTCACGCGAAACGACGCATTTTATAAAGAGAAGTGGCCTTATTTATAGACGAATTTCGTAACATTATTTTGGAACGCGTCCCTAAGACGCGTCACACATCGCGCGCGGTGACGTAGCTCAACAATAAAAGAAAGCAACTCTTCTTTCTTTTATTTATTTATTTATTTTTTTTAATGACGCATACGGGTCAAAGGCAGGTGATTATTCGACCTTCACTTGGCGCGCGGGAAAAACCAGTCCAAACCTTTTTGTTCCTGTTCGCACGAACTCTTCTCCTCTTTCTTACATGTCTGACTGAACTTCTTTTCTAAATAAATTTTTTAAATTTTTTCTAGATGTTCTAAAGCAACGTATGATGGTTGCCGAAATCGTGGGACGTGGACAAAGTGGATCCCCTGTAAACGGTGAACTACCACTGTTGAACTCCAGCATGCCTTCAAGTCACGGAAGGGACGCCCTTCTAGCCAGCCCATCGCCAAACGGAGATGCCTATCAACAAACGTACGGTATTGGCTCTCATCTGAAACAGAAGGAAATCCTTCCTCAGCGGAAACAACGCGAATTCACCCCGGAAAATAAAAAAGATGATAGCTACTGGGACCGGCGTCGTCGCAATAACGAAGCAGCAAAGAGATCTCGCGAGAAACGTCGCTTCAACGATATGGTCCTCGAACAAAGGGTTCTTGAACTGACCAACGAAAACGCAATCCTTAAAGCCCAACTTGAGACCATCCGTGAAGAATTTGGTATTTGCGGCGAGAAGATCGTTTGTCCAGAAAAGGTTCTCGCCAGCCTCCCGAACAAAGACCAAGTGCTCACTTACACTAAACGTCAGAAGTTGACCCATCCGGCGTTCTTTAGCTCACCAAGTCCAATCCCGACACCGGTTATACATCAACCAGTGTTAACTTCGCCTCCACCTCAACCGATCTCTCTCCCTCAAGTTCACCCAACCATCCACCATGAACCTCCGTACAGAGAACTTGAATACCATCCACAATTTTCCAGTTTCCCGCCTTATCATCATCCACAATCACACTCCCCAACGCCGTACGATAGTGGAAATAATGCCCTCAACCTCTCAAGATCCAGATCTAGAGGAAGACAATCCCCATACGAAGTGTCCAGCAATTCAGGAGATGAAAGCACACCTCTCGCCCTCACAACGTCCGAATTAAACAACAGTTTACCGTTGAAACTTCGTCACAAGGTCCACTTAGGTGACAAAGACGCGGCGAGTGCGCTTTTATCCCTGCAAAACATTAAACAAGAACCTGGACCGAGATCGAGCCCACCGTGGGACGCCGAAGGTTCAAGTGACGAAAGGGATTCCGGGATTTCCCTTGGGGGCGAATGGACGACAGCAACCGCAGCAGCCGCCACCCTTCAAACGCTTCAGAAACAATCCCAGTTAAGCCTGCGAGAACACACGGCCTCCGAACTGGAGCGCATCTCCTCGGAGGTGGCCATACTCAAGTCCATCATTAATAAGGACCAGAAAGAGATGGTTTCTAACCAGCAGTGAACGCGACGCACGGTGATAAATATGTCTTTGTGATTTGGTCAGCCGGTACCTGGATGGAAGGATGTGGACATATCGTTTTTACCCCCCTCGCTGACGTGTGCCGGTCATCATGTACCAGCTATTTATTGTGTTTAGGTTTTAAGTATTTATTTCTAAGGTCGCATTCTATTTCGCCTATGAACGGAGACGATATATTGCACAATTTATGGCCGCTTTTACATCCTATTAGCCGTTATTTTCTATGTAACAATTATCGTAACTGTTTCTTGGCTAGCTTTAGTGTCCCTTCACGATCAAAACTTGTAATCATCATCACCGACATCGCCGCGCCGATTTGTTATAGAAATTAACGTACCTATTTATTTCTCTTAGCTGGAAACGTGTGATTTTTTATTGTATTTATCTTCAAATACTTCTTATTTATGTATAAAGTGTATGTAATTTTTTTTGTTAACTGCTGCTGGTCAATCTCAGCGTATATGTTATCTCATATCGTATAATATTAAGGTATACAACATTTGCTGGAATATGTATTTTAAACGTCAGATGTAAAAAAACTCGTCACTCGCAATTTCGGCCCGCTCCGTTTTCGCGTTATTTTTTTCGTCGAAGAACGAAAACGCGCCACGGAACGGAAGTAACCTTTTTTACAAAGCGAACGAGATTATCAGAAAATCATTTACCGTAATTTTACCTTTTCGACCTGTAAATTATTACTCCAGCGTACTACTTTTAGTATGATAAAGAAAATATTCGTATATATTTTCATATTACCATTAAATGTATCCTACTTATTTCTTGAATAAAGATTTACATCATTTTATAACTTGGGAATTGTTTTTCCTTATTATTTTTTGTTTTTCCATTTCTCGGTGTGACGCATACATAAACACGGTAAGTAAGAAATAATTAAAAATAAAACGATAATTTTTTTATCAATATGTGGTAAAAATTGTGTCGTCATACTTATTTTTTAAATCCCGTTTAATTTATTTATATAATCTAAAATCATCATTTTTATGAAAATTACTAAGACGGAAAATATGGTCAAACAGAAATTGTTGAAAAACAAAACATTAAATGCTTCATTGTTATATTGCGTCAGTATTGAAGCGAGATGGAAGTAATCGTGTTGTTCGACACACGTACAAACAGGCGTCTGCGTAAATATTTTCAAATTCCGTTCAAAACTCTGAACTCTAACCGCGTCCGGCTGCGGGAAGGTGAAACGCAAACTAATTTGTGTCCGATAATAAAAGGGGTTGGTTGTAACAAAACAGTGCCAAATTAGACATGTATTTCATTTGGCACTACTCCATTCAATTATTTCTTGTTTCATCAGCGTTACGTTGTTCGTTCTTCACTTACAAAAAAAAAAGAAATATTGTTTAACCGTTTACGAAACCGATTAACACAAACGTTTCGTTTTTGTAATAAAGCCTCACAATTACGTTCATTCGAATAAAAAAAGACTTCGTAATTCATTTACGATAACTTTATTATATATTAATTAGTAATTTATTCTTATTCACTCTACAAAATAATAAAAAAAAATAAAATAAAATGTTATAATTTTTTTTGTAAATAAATAATTGTCGCGCCGGACGTTGGTTTGATATTCCGCGATTAATGTTTGCCGTAAATACGGCTTAACGTCCTTCGTAGAAGGTTAACGGTTCGTCGACTTCGCGGTTGCAGTTTGGCGTCTCAGATTTTTTTTCGGAAACGACTGCCACAGATTTTTTGGCAACCGGGCGACCACGGTGGACGAAAACGAGCGTCGAACGCAAAATAAATGACGCCCGAACGTTATTTTGCGAGAACGTTTATCTATTAAAAAAGAGAAGAAACGCGAGAAGAGGGAGAAAAAAAGTACCTCCTCGACTATGTTGCGCAACATTGCGCAGGGTCATGGATTGACGAAATATTTACAAATCGTGAGGCGGCAGCAGGGGATTCGAAAATTACGCATCAATATGTTTGTTTAATTATCACTAAAAATTATCACTCGTGGGAAAATTAAAACTATTTTATTTTAAATTTTAAAATCTTTTTATTTAATAATAAATAATTTGCGAAAATCATCCTATGTTTCTTGTTCTCCCTCCAACACTCTTACAAAATCTTAAAGTCACTCCTCTACTCCAGCCCATTTTCGTACTTTATACCTACTTTCACCATCATCTTCTCCAGCTTCAACTCCTCTCTGAATATCTAAGTTCTTCTGGAGTATATCTGCTAGACTACAGTAGGGCCTTTGATCCTATGATTGACAGTATCAAAGGCCCGACTGTAGTCTAGCAGAACCAATCCAGTAAGCCTATTTTGATCACTATATGTCATCAACTATATGCAACTATAATAAATTTATCAACAAATTCCAAAATTTGATAATTCATAATTTTTTCTAATACTTTAGACAAAACAGGTAAAATACTAATTGGCAAAGGTGTTACCAAAGATTTCTTCCAACATTTTGGAAAGATTGACCTCGATAAGCATATATTAATAGTATGTGTGACGAATATGTATCATCACAACCGGGAGTTCATCATATCCCACACTGCCAGATTTGATATTTAACAAATGCCCCGCTACAATATGCTCAGAGACAGGCGCAAAAGCAAACAATTCATTAAAGGTAGACTTTTTCGTAGTAGTATAAGTCTGAATTAAGTCTGGATCAACGATCAATGAGTTTTCAGCAGCTTGTAAAAAATTATCATTAATGCCTTCAACGTTATTCAAATGTTGTGGAACTACCTGCTCTTTTGATTTAATAACATTCAGATGTCTCAGTGATATCGCGAGATCCCTGGAAATTTTATTTTTACATGATTCATAATAAGCCTTCTGCTCGGTCTTTATAAAAGATTTATATTCATTAAGTGCTAGTTCAGTTTTAGATTTTTTGAATTTGTTGTAAAGACCATCTCTAAGTCTAATCATGTCTCTAAGCAGGGGAGTAAGCCAGGGGGCAGATTTTTTACTAAGCCTTACCGTCTTTACGGGTGCATGAGCATCAAATAATGCTAAAATTAAACGGTTAAAGTACTGTAATTTCACATCAACTTCATCAATTCATCAGATCCAACGTGAAAAAATTCAAGTTAAATGTAGCAAAATCTGATCACCGGGCTCCTCCCCTCGTCCGGAACACTAAGGCAAAAATGTATCAATTCATGATCAGCAAGGTCATGAAGAGACTTAAGTGATAAAGCACAACATCAATGAGCGGCTCAGTAGCAGGTGTAATGCGAGTTGGTTCATTAACAAGCTGCTACAAACCATAACTTCAAGTATCTCCGAAAAACCAACGGCGTGACCATGACTGGGATTCATCAAATCAATATTAAATCTCCAGCACATATCAACTCATCACACTGCGGTATGAGCAAAGATAAAGTTTCATCAAACGAATCAAAAAATTCACTACAAGTACCTGATATTTTTTAAAATGACTGAAATCTACAACTGTTCTAAATGCTCAAAACTGGGAACACCAAGTCTATGAAACTTATAGTAAGCCTTAATGTATATATCAACACCACCGCCAATAACAGATATATTTATAATGTCAGTTTTGTTTTGAAAAATTAGGATACATCGAAGTAAATAGAGAGGAAAATAACGAAAACATATGTTATATTTCCATAAAACACCTTCTATGAGCTTTTCTTTTATAATTTTTCAGGGGACAATCTCTTTTTAAAGACCAGCAGTAATCTGCCATCATGTCACAATCCCATCGACTCATACCTTTCCTCCATCACTTTTAAATCCTGGTGGAATCGCTCTCACTGTTCCTGACTATAATTTCCTAAATTATCCGGAAATGTATCCAGGGATAGTGTAACTTAATACTCATATTTGCTCCTAGAGTCTATATTTTGTACAATTTCTGCATAATTTGGTGCTTTATGAAATTTTCGACTACCAACACAAAACTTTTCCAAGCTTTAATATCCGGAGCAGTCATAACTTTAATAAAATCTGTGTCTTTCATCAATTGCCGTATTTGCGGACCATAAAATATTCCACCTTTCTACTTTTCCATACTAAGCTTCGGAAATTTTCTACAAATGTAATTAAAAAAATCTCCTTCCTTGTTTACAAATTTCTTTATCATTCCTAATTTAATATGTAATGGTGGAAGTATGATTTTGTCTCTGCTCACCAACAGCTCCCTTATGACATTGGCTTTACCAACAGTTAAAGAATTTCTTACAGGCCAAACATCTTGTTCCCAATGAAGTTGGTTTGCCCACTTTGTTGACCAAGTAAAAAATTAACGATTTTCAAATCCACACAGATCAGCCGTTGATGCTCCGAGTAATTAATTTTTTCTAAAACTACTTTCACATTTTCATATTCTTCTTTGCATTTTGTTGAATGGGCAATTGGAATTGATACAAATTTATTTCCATTGTGCAATAAGACACATTTTAAACATCTTTTACAACTGCCAATAAAAAGGCGCCACTCAGTAGGCTTGTATTCTTTTAAACCCATGTCTAGAAGCAGCTCGCAATATGATTACAGTACACCAGTCCTTCATTTTCACTAAAAAATTGTAATTACTCACTTTCTCGCGTTCGGTATCCTTGTTTTGATAAATTAAGATCACTGAGTTCATTTTGAGAACATTTTGAGGGTTTCACCCTCATGTTTTAAAAGACAAGAGAAATATATTAGAATGGACATTCAGTAATTGAAACAAAACATACTATATAATAAATACAACTTATCCAGATTCACGTGTAAGTACTTCAATATTGTCAAGTAACTGCGGTCTCAGCTGTTCTGCGGAGCAAGGAGTCAGAGAATGGGGATCACGTGATGTTTGTATGCGCGAAAAAGTTGCGCAGAAGCGTAATCATGACTGGGAAAATACATTTTATTACTAACAAGCCGATTATTAAAATATAAGATGTAAAAATCATAAAAAACAAGTACTTTCATGAATATATTCTATCATATGTTGTAGAGCTGCGTAATTTCATGCACCCATCTTTTTTTCTAGTAACCAAAACATCCAGGGAGTTTGCAATTCCCTTTTCTATGATAAATTTAATCATTGAGAGCTGCCAGATCACAAAGGTGTCATCCACATAACTATGCTATTACTTTAGTTTCTACGGATTCTTCCATAACAAACATCTCCATATAGAAATTGACAATTACTTACCCTTCCAGTTGAAATATGCCCTTCGGGATGCGTTTCTGGCACTGACCAAATTTGTGGAATTCACTTTCTTGATATATATAAACATGTATTATTAAAATGTTTGAAAATTTTTGGATGACGTGGACGATGAATGTTTTGTACCGTGAAATACCGATGACGATCCATCGTGATATGAGAAACTACCAAATATATACTCGAGGGACAAATGTGGGCGAGGTTTACATAAATATATATTTGATTGCCAACAAAAAGTTTTTACATATATACGTGTAGAAGTTAGTGTAATAATACAGAAGAAGAAAACTTTTAGAGGTATTGATTATCGCTGAGTTAAAATGTTAGTAGTATGTTATTGACATGTCGTAAAACTTGGGTTATGTCGCAAAGAAAAATGTCAGAATGAACGTGTAGCTATGAAATGTGTGTGTAAGAGGTACACGACCTACTAAAAACAAACTTTTTCATACATTCGATTATGAGTATAGGCATTAATAGTATTTATTAATTAATATATTTTAAATTTAATTCCATTATAACATTTTTAATCCCATTATTTCGTGTATGTATGTCACATCCGTTTTTACAAAAGATTCTCGACAATGCTTTTTTTTATTAAAGCCCACCACCATGTCTGTTTATTGTTAGGTAAAGTTTATTATCACCGAATATGACAAAAATTTTTTCAAATATTAATAAAATCCATTTTTGAAAGGTAGTGTTGTAAAATAATGGTGAATTACAATAAATTTATTATTTTTGTATTACCCATTTTATTCATTATTTTGCAGGTAAGTTAAACTTTGTTGTGTGTCTAATTTTACAATTTAAATCATTTTAGGATGCCTCCCCAATTTTTAAATCAAAATTACACAAAGAAATTTGTCCGAAATATAAGTAAAGTTTGTATAATCCCAATAAATAAATATGTTATTGTTTTTTTTTGTTATAGTGCGCAATTAATAAATTTATTTAGCATGATGTGTACAAATATAGCAAATGGAACAAATACAACATTGAGAGATGCTTGTATTGGATGTTTTCAAAGTGCAACTACCACAACCTCCCAACCATCAATAGCTTCTATAATAGCATGTGCGAATATATATGCATCTAATACGAATTATTCGTCGTGTTTTAACATTTTACCTGTATTTAAATTCAAAATTTATAGAAACATCGTTACTAAATCGTTTATTTTAGCCAACCACTGTTGTTTTCACTCCAGGAATAGATCCGAGAATAAAAAGATCCCCCATACAATGCAACACAGAATATTGTCAATTTGCGAGGTGCATAAGAAGTGTTAATGCTAACATATTGATTTCAAGATGTTACAACGAATCAAGATTAATTAATCCAGCGGTTTCAGCAGTGCAACAAGTTAATCTTTATAAGAATATTACAGCTTGTATTTTAGCGAGAGCGAGATGTTCTTCGGTAAATCCGATAACTGGGCAACCACAGAATGGAAGATATCAAACGATTACGAGTACGGACCACTTCGGGAAGACCACTCAAAGAACGACGACTTATTACTATTCTTTACAAATCTCATTATCCGGTGAATTACGAATTGTCGCCCTACCAAACGCTGTGGCTTCACAAAATGGATTTTGTGCCACTCAGTCTAGTTTACAGGAAGCTAATTGGATGACTTTTACTTGCTAAATTATTTATGTATTAATGTACATTTAAATATATTATTTAAAATAAAATAAACTACATACATCCATCTTTTAACTGTATCCTCAAGTTACAATGAAAATTTAAAGTTAATTAAACTGAATTGAGATGGCGCTAGTTGTTTGGTGCGGTTTTAATTTTAATACATAGATGGCGTTAATTGATTGACCGAATGTTTTGGAGGTGATTAAATAAGACATAACGTGGCGAATAGCTTACAAAGTTTTTATTTTTGCGAAGAAAAATGCAAAACGACCCGGGAAAATCCATCAAAAATTCGCTTTTTAATCCAAATGTAACTGGCAGCACATACGAGGACTTCGCCCAACATGCTATGATTTTTCCTGCACAAGCACCATCTGTTTCACCTTCAAATACAGATCAAGGTAATAATAAAAATCCATTCTATTAGTAATATTATTTATTATTTGTATTATTGATTAAATTTTAAGTTGTAGATAATAATAAGTTTATATAAATATGTTTTAAAGAGGCGTGCGACTTCCTGAAGGCCCTCGATATGTTGGTAAATCTAAAGAACCTTTTCGTTTTTGTTTTATAATAAAATAAATAATTATTATTATTATTACAACCAACAAGATAACCCCCAATGCAATAGCAGATGCAAATCCAGCACTTAGAGGTGCACCTAAAATCAAATCAAAGGAAAATTCAATTTCTTCAAGAATAATAATGTAAATAATGTAATAATAATAAGCGTTTGTGCGCCGGCTTTTCATACTCTAATTGGCTTTTTTCAACAAGTGCTTTATGAACAATAAAAGGATCATTTATCTCCTCCCATCAAGGAAATCAATAAGAGGTACTCATTTCAAAATCTCACACTTCTATCTCAAAATAAATATGCCGCCTTAGTGGATGTTTCTGATGAGAGCAATGAACCTAGTACTTTGACTTCAAACAACCCTAATAATAAAGATTTTTTTATCCATAGTACTGGATAAAATAGGACTTGAAAGCAAACACAAAACAGTTTCACTACTACATACAAAAATTCAAGTCACCAAATTCTACAAAGAAAATAAAATTCCATTCCATACCTGTCCATACCCTCAATCAAGAAATCAAATCCGAATTGAATCAACTAAACCTACCAGTCATAACAGTCATGAGGTTGCTCAATAAGTCGAAATACCCCATACCTTTATGCGCAGTAGACCTAGAAACCACAGAGAATGCCAAAGAAATCTATCAAGTCAAGGAAATTTCCAACGCAATCAACAATGAGCCCTAGATGCAAAAAACACTAACTGCAAAAAACTTCAAGCTGATCCACCAAAGTGTGCCAATTGTGGCCAAGATCATCCAGCAAGCTATGAAGGCTGTAAAATTCACATCGAATATCAGAACAAATACCATCATCAAACAACTTCAGTCTATCTTGCTCAAGAAACCCAGAGCTCACAAGCAATACCTCAAACAAAGACTAATATCAGGAGCTACGCATCGACAGTAAAAAGCACGCCTGCTCCAGCTCAAGTAGAGAATCAACCAAACCAACAACAATCCTCAGAATCACAGGCACGTCTCCTATCTGCCATTTAATTCACGACTAATCTAATAATCATACATAACCTAACCATCCTGAATTTCAACGCCAATGGTATTAAAAAACAACGAACTCTTCTTATTGCTTATTAATTCAACACCATCAATTTAGCTGTAAAACCACCGCTATTGAAGTAATGGCAATAGTAATTCAAACAAACAACTCAACTCCAGTTAATATCATATGTGGATACAAACAACCTAACAAAAAACTGCTAGAAACTGACATAAGTTCAATGCTGAGTAGCTCTATACCTACCCTACTTATAGGAGATTTTAACAGTAAGAATAAACTCTAGGGAGATAATCCATCGGGACTGAATTTGGAATTATTAGCAACCAAGTACGGTTTTCAAGTCCAATCGATTTTACCTACTTTCCATATAGAAACGACTATCAACCGGATATTTTAGATATAGTAATAACCAAAAATTTTACCATCCAGTTAAATCTGTGTGTAATTCCGACCTAAAATTCCTAAGCTGATCAATGGATTCATCAACTAGGCAGAGTTTGGAGACTCACTCAAAATCAAGAATTTAACTTTTCAACATCAGCTACTCCGAACGAGTTAGATACAAAAATCCGCTCACTGACTTCAAAGATTAAGAAAGCAGCTGTCTCTTCAACGAAACCCTTCAAAAGGAATCCTACAAGTAATTACAACCTTCCCCCTAAAAGCATCTTAGACCTAATCAAGAAAAAACGGAGGGTTGGGTTGAGTTTCTGGGTTCTGGTAACTCAGAAATAAAAACTACACTGAATAGACTAACTCATACAATTTCTCAGGAACTAGATTCCTATAGAATTGTGGTTAAGTAACATACCACACCATATTGAACGAGGGGTAATTTAGAAATAATATTTAATAATCCATATACATCACATAAAACAACCAACAGATTTAATTATGGTAATATTATATTCATGCATCCGACGATTTCTTCCTGAAGATGAGGACTAGTTCCTCGAAACATGTAGAAAGATAAATAAAGAATGACATCGTTGAAGTATAAATAACTGACCTTCACTTCCAACATAGACACGATGTTAAGAAATCACAAAAATAATTACAATTATAGAAAACTCATCGAAAGTTAATAACGCAGACATATGAAGAAATACCTACCCTATTAGTCAATGAAACACCAGTATTCTCGGACGAAGACAAAGCCAAATATTACTATTATTAAAAAAAATATTCGTCACATTACCACAATCCAACAATATAATGAATCCCATCTACTAACTTCAGCAACTACCGAGACCGACAGAATGTCAGTAGAAGAAAGGAAGGTAGAAATAGCATATCTCGCCATTAAAAAAGCACCAGGGTTAGATCAGATACTTAATATAGTCATAAAACAACCTTCCGGAGAAACTACCGAGTCACATCACAGGAATTTTTAATCGCTGTCTGGAAATTGGTTACTACGCAAATCCTAATGTTTAGAAAGACAGGCAAAATCAATACAGACCCAGCCAATCTCATCCTTATCTAAGCTATTCGAACGAGTCATCCATCATCGACTACAAGAAGAGTTAAGCCTCCTCAAAATAATCCCAAACATCCAGTACGGATTTAGAAAGGGACACTCCACGGTTTATCAACTGGCAAGAGTAGCGGAATATATCGAGGCTAAAAAGTTTACAGCTGTTGTTTCGTTGGATGTAACAAGGGCCTTTGATACTGTCTTAATTGAAGGCTTAAAATACAAGCTCAATCAAACGGGGCTAAGCAACTATTTACTTGCTATTCTGTTCTTTTTCCTGGAGGAGAGAACTTTCTCCGTCACCATCAATTCATACTCCTCCAGCACTCAAAGTAGTAGTTTATCCTCTGCTCTATTCAACATCTTTATGCATGATATCCCGACCGACGTAAACTTCGAAATGGCCATGTTTGCGGATGACATGTTAATAATGGGACAAAACGACATCTTTATTGGTGCTATTGAGACACTTCAAAGGTCAGTGGACAAAATCTAGAAATGGCATATTCTGGTCAATGCCAGCAAATGGCATTGGGCATTTTTTTATAAAGACCTTATCGAAATGCTCCTTACATTATTATAAATGATCAAGAAATACAGTGGAAAGCAAAAGATGAAGCCATTAATCTCGACATAAAGTCAAAGGTCAAGCAAGGATATGCAAGGCTTCGCCAATTGTATCCTCTGATCAGCAGAAAATCACCACTGCGAACTGAGTGCACTCTATTTCTTTACAAAGCCCTCATCAGGCCACTAGTAACTTACGCCTGCCCAGTTTGGAGCAATTCATCAACTTCAAACATGAGAAAAATTCAAAGTAACTAAAAAGTTTTTTAACAACATCAGTAAGTACTCTAGTGCGGTTCAGCATCAAGTTGGTCGCCAACAAATCCACACGCGTTTAAAGAGGAAGCTTCCCCAAGATACATAGCTCAGAAGTTACATATTCTGTAATCCATAGTATTTATATGTAATTATTTCTTTTTTTGTATCAACGCAACCCCGAAAAACATCGTCAATGTTGAACTGGTTTTGAAATAAACGAAAAAAAAAAAGAATAATGATAAATATGATTTATACTCACTTTCTTCGTACGAATTAATTTCCAAAGTATTCTTATTGCCTCTCAAGTCAACAGCTGTAACTGTTAATTTTGAGTTGCAACAATTTGCTGTGTAATGACCAGCTATTTCTTCTTTAGATCCACTAATAAAGTTGTTGTTATTGAAGTAAATCCCACGAGGTTGAGAGGTAAATTGAAGTACCCCCGTTTCTTTATCTCGCGCGAAGATGTTGACCTCCCAAGATTTACTTTGACAGTTTGAAGCTTCCACATTCGAACAATCTGTTATTAAACTATACCACACCTCCGGTTGAGTTGAATCCATCTCGCCCTCATTAACGTACAAATAAGCAACCTTTTTTGCATTAAATCTTGTACTCGAAAATGTTATAACGTCATAATTTCCAGAAGGAATTTCCCCACTTAATTGAACCGTCACTGTTATCGTTTGATTTGGATTAATGTATGCGCTATAACATTTATATAAAAATATATGTGAATTAATAACTTTTTTAAATTAATTTAGCTACCTCCCTGGATTTATATTTTGCAATAAATTTTTAGAATCAGTACAAGTAAATGCAACAGAAACAGCTTGTTCTTGATTATTAGTCACTTCAAAATATATTGTTGCAGATGTATATGGTGTTGTCAAAAGTTTTGAATTTGAACTCAACTCGATTGAAATTTCTGGCAGTGATCTTTGAATATTATTTGATGAAACCAATCGCTTGTGTCGAACTAAAAAAAGAAATTACTTAATTTTATTAGAAAACAAAAATTTTTGAAACTATACTTTTAAGTATGAATCATAGTATTGTATTACAATATAATGATATAAAAAAGCGATTAGAAAAACTTTTAAAAGTGTGATCCTCGACCTTTGATCAGGTGATGCATAGAAATAGAATAAATATTGCGTTGTTGGTTATGTAGTACGTTTGATTGAAAAGTTTTTATTAAGAGTAAAAAGGCAAACGTGTTGTCGATCATTTGAAACATCGAAAAATAATAACATCAGGCGTTATATAGTAGATTTTGTATATAAACGTATTATTTGCGATCGTGAGGGGTCAAAATTCTTTTTAACATTTCGTTGCGCAAGTGCAATGTGACGTGTTGTAGATTAAACTATATACGCTAAGAAATCGTAGCGCGCTTAGTTAGTTTGAATTAAAACTTAATACAGACGAGGTGAGTAAATTATTAATGTTTTTTTACCTTGATCTAGCATTTGTGCGTCTTCTTTTATTATATTTACGTATGCACGTTTTTTGGCATCAAAACTGAACGTCCAAGGACCGCCTTGATTCACTTTTAATGTTAGAAAAGTAAGATTTCCAAAATTTATTATTTGACTTGGTGAATTTAATAATAATTTTTCCCCTTCGGGTGATATAACTTGCAAATTATCGATGTCTCCACGTATTTTAATAAGAATTAATCGTGTTGGGTTAAAAAAGTTTAATTTATGTTCGTAATGACCTACTGCACTTTCATTTTTAACCACGTGCTAAAAATTGTGTTAAATCGTTAATTAAATTTTAAACATTAAAAGTAATCGTACCTCGAAATAAACCCGGTTGGATAGATCAAAAAAATATCCATCAGTTGCAAAAGATAATATCTTCATATTTGTTGTAAGATCCTCGAAGCTCTTTGGCTTATAAAAAATGTAGAACTAAAAACATAAATAAGATAACGCATCTTATATAATTTCAATTTGTTTACCTTAATATTTTTATTTAAAGCTTCTTTTAAAATCTCTTTACTTATATCATTAGAATCTTTTTCGTCGAGTTTAAAAATACTACAATTTTTTTTGATCGCATCTACTTGCTTAGGGGCATCATTAACGAATAAAAAAACACAATCATTGTTTAAAATAGCTTCAGAGAAATTAAAATAAAATATAAAAAACCAAACGAAAAACATTTTTTGTGAATATTTTTTAACAAAATCTGAACAAAAACTGAATTTTCCCAAGTGAAAGTAACAGCTTTTGTAAGTTCGGGTGACGAATATGGGTAAGAACGGAAATACCACCTTAATGAAAAACAAACACGGTTTATTTAAACTTTTAAACGTATCGGTTAAGGTTAAAGGGTTCTCTAAAACATTAATGATGTTTTTTATTTTTTATCTATTTAGATCAACAAATACCCGAAATATCAACTACGAGTAATAATTTTACAATAGAACCGGATTACCAACCAGAACAATTCGGCGAGGTTACTATTCAAGACGATTATTCGCAGCAACCATCAAATATTTCATCGTTTTTATCATCATTTTCCAACATTTGGAAACCAAGCTCTTCGTCGGAACAACAAGAAAATTTTGGGGTCACCCAACAAATCGAACCTACTCAACCTCCCACAATCGGTGATTATTTCGCTTCAAGCAGCCCTCAAACACAAACTCGAGAAGTACCATTTTATTCCCCAACGGATGTTCCAATAGGGCCACCACCCCCATCAACAACCACAACAAACACCTACAGGCGTTCAGGTTTAAAAAGAGCAGTTTATGCCCCAGTTCCGGGTCTTTCAAAACCTCAAGATCAACCAAACATTTTTGATGCAAATTATATCCAACCAATTTCATCAAATGTTTTAACCCCGGACACTTTACCAGAAGTTCAAAGATCGATTACTCCAAAACAAATAATTCAAGAACCAAAAAGTTCCGAATCAAATTCGCCATTTTTAAGTCCAGTACAAGATTTATCAGAACCTTTCGTTAAAATGCCCGTTAACGAGGTACCTAATTCAAATTCAAATAATTTACCATACGCTTATCGACAAGACAATTTCTTGCCGACATCAAACGCGGAAGTGACTAATTCGCTGTACAGACCGGTGTATCAACATTGGTTTTATCGAAAAAATAAAGAGGCGAAAACACCATGGCTGCCATTTTCAATGCACGATTCCCAAAATTTAGAAGCTGCGTTTACATCAACTGATCTCTCACCCGAAACGGTGGTCAAAACTGATGGTGGGCGTTACGACGTAAATATATTACGTAGAGAACGAATTTCGGTTTATTGGAAAAGTAACCCAACGGAAGTAAAAAGATGTTCGTGGTTCCATAGGCACACAAGCGGCGACGGCAAATACATTCCATTCGACGAAAATATCGCCGCAAAACTCGAAGATGAATATAAAATTGCGTTTGAAACTAACCAGTGGCATAGAAAAGTCGATATCCAAAACGGGGAGACTGTCATTCTTCATGGAGTGGATGTTTTAATTTTGTTTCCTTCTACTCCATCACCAGATACTTGGGGAAATGCGCCGGTAAATATAATTAAATATAATTATTTAATAGGTATATTACATACACTGTTGGAAATAATTCAAGAGCACACCCTGTATAATCTGAACGCGTGTGTCTAGCGCAATGAAATTTGGTATGAAAGGAGTACTAAAGTAGTGTAACTTATCTTCACATGGAGAGCGGCGCAACTCTGTTGGGAGGGGATACATCAATAACGAGAGTATTCCCCGTGAGCAGCGCGTACCATCGCTACACGACGTGGCATAGAGTCGATAAGTCGCTGTATTGTAATTCGCCTTCATAGCTCCTCAACATTAGCCGGGGATGCCGAATAACGTTGAAGTCTCCCAACAATCATGTCCCAAACATGTTCGATCGGATTCACATCCGGAGAACGAGCTGGCCATGGAAGCATTTGTATATGGTGCTTTTCCACAATGGTCTGTACAACACGCTCGACGTGCGGTCGGGCGTTGTCGTGCATGTATAGCAGATGTATCGTTGACCCGTCATCATCTGCTGTACACGCAGCAGACGTGTAGGCCCACCATGTGTAATCGTACCCCATACTATAATGCTTGGGTGTCGGAAAACAAAATGTCTCTCCACTCAGCAACCCACCAATGTCTAGCGTCGACCCACTAGTGACGTATGTGCTGGTGCTGGGAGTATTAGTGCAATCCGCTCTATCGCACGCGCAGTCCAAACGCCGCCGTACAGTTAGCATAGTGAGTACGCCTTCCCTGACCTTCCCTTCCCGCTGGCGAAACAGCTCCAAGTTGTCTTGAGGAGGACATACGCGACGCTAAAGCACTGAGCACAAATGCGCGATCTTCGCGTGCTGTGGTCGCGCGAGGCTATCTCAGCCACGGCTGAAGGTGCGTATGTCCTAGCTCAGACCATTCTCGCCATGCCCGTTGCACTGCCGGTAACGACTGCTCGAGAAAAGGCGCAATTTCACGGAACGATACACCCTCAATGTGCATACCCACAACCATTCCTCTTAAGTAATGCGATCGCCCTTCCATTGCGCACAGAGTACGACAACAAAGTGGTGCCTCCACACTAAAAACGATCGGTATATCCCACCCACTTCGATCTCCATAGCGGAATGTTCCACATGGAAGGGCGGCTTAGTCAACACTGCCTACTTTAGACTATCAATCTGGTTTCCGACCAGGCCACACTACCACATCGGCACTCATCAAGGTTACTGATGATATTAAGCGTAACTGTGACGATCGACGAATAACCTTGTTAGTTTTGCTGGACTTCAGCAAGGCATTTGATGCTGTGGATCATAGCCTACTGGTGTCGTCTCTGTCTGCTATGGGCTTTGCCGCTGAGTGCGTTACTTGGTTTGGGTCATACCTTTCTCAACGTTCCTTTTGTGTGCGTGACACTTCATCTTCTTCTTCTGTGTTTCAAAGTCACAGTGTCAACAACTGTGAATGAGCTCCCGGTGTCCATGGCGCGGCTTAATGGCGATCTGTCCAGGATACTTCACTGGTGTAAATGAGTTTGAATATTGCCAAGACACAAGCTATAGCATTCGGTTCAAAACCTTTACTTGCAAAATTTTACTCTTTCAATGATACGCAGCTGATACTTGGTGACAATGTTATACATTTCACCAATACGGTCAAAAACTTGGGGGTGACAATGGACTCAGCGCTGTCTTGGCGGTGTCAAATTCAGTCTGTCTGTAGGAAGGTCTATTTTTGTTTTCATTCAAAGACAATACCTGTTGTTAGTCAACCTTTATGCTCCGCAAATATTATGGATTTATCTTCAGCGCAATAAAATTTGGTATGGAAGTAGTACTAAAGTAGCATAACTTACTCTCACATGGAGAACGGCACAACTCTGCTGGGAGGAGAAACATCAATAGCGAGAGTATCCCCCGTGAGCTTCGCGTACCATCGCTACACGACGTGGCATGCAGTCTATAAGTCGCTATATTGTAGCGAGAGGGATGGCCAACCATGCCACCTCAACTCGCCTGTACAACACTAAGGTCTGTACAACACGCCCGATGTGCTGTCGTACGTTGTCGTGCATGTATAGCAAACATGGGAGCCGCCGAACATAGGGAAGCACAACGGACAGTAGCACCTCATCTACGTATCATTGACCCGTCATGGTCTGCTATACACGCAGCAGACGTGTACGTCCACCATATGTAATCGCACCCCATACCATAGTGCTCGGTTGTCGGTGGATAGGGCGTTCTTGCACACACTGCTCGAGTAGACGATCATCACGGCTCCGACGAACTAAAATTCGCGCATCACCAGTGCTCAATTCGAATCTTGATTAATCGGAAAACAAAATGTCCCTCTACTCGGCAACCTACTAATACCTAGCGTCGACCCACTCGTGACGTATGCTGCGGTGCTCGGGTGGTACTGGAATCCGCTGTATCGCACGACGCGCGCGCCAGTCCACTATCTACCAAACGCCGCCGTACAGTTCGCGTAGTGAGTGCGCCTTCCCCTGCCAGTGGCCAAACAGCTCCAAGTTGCCTTGAGGAGGACGCACACGACACTAAAGCGCTGAGCACAAGAGTGCGATCCTCGTGTGTCCTATGTCCTACCTCAGACCATTCTCGCTATGCCCGTTGCACTGCCGATAACGACCGCTCGAGACGACGCGCAATTTCACGGAACGATACACCCTCAATGTGCATACCCACAAACATTCCTCGCTCAAACTCGCTTAAGTAACGCGATCGCCCATCCATTGTAAAAACGACCGGTATTTTCCATCCACTTCGGTCTCCATAGCGACGGAATGTTCCACTTGGAAGGGCGGCTCAGTCAAAAATGCCGCCACAGAACAACTCGAAACTCTTATGCAACTATTATGGATTTATCTTCACGCGTTCAGATTTTATAGGGTGTGCTCGTGAATTATTTCCAACAGTGTATATTATACATATATTACAGTACTCAAACGGGTGCTGTAATAAGACTCTTACAGCATCCGATGCTGTAATGAGATTTTAGTAACATTTTATGGAACTAGTTCAAGTTGGTGACATTGGATCATTTTCTGAAATTTCTTTAATCTTCTTTTCTTCGCACCACCCCTTAAATTTAGCGTACTCTTATTTGTATCTTTCATGGAACTTATCTGGAAGTAGTGTTTTAATAAAATTCAGTAATTTCTCTTATTTCGGGAGGTAGACATGAAACATTTTTCTCACGTGAATACATTTTGTATTTTGATAATTTCTAATTGTCGATTCAAATTTCTATTTTCAAGTGTTACGGTGTTACCAACTGCTACTTTTCCCTACATTGTCAAAATTTATTTTATTTTTGTTAAAAAAAAGGATTAAAACGCGAATTACAAAAAATAGAAATAATAATAAACTTGAATTCGTGCATTTCAAGCGTGTCTTACGAAACTAGTTTTTTAATATACTATTTTGTAATTCGCGACGGTAATGAAAGCTATTACAGTACTCAAACGGATGCTGTAATGAGACTCCTTACAGCATCCGATGCTGTAATAAGATTTTAGTAACATTTTATGGAACCAGTTCAAATTGGTGAGATTGCATATACATATAATTATTATTTTAGCAAAATCAAATCAAACCAAGAATAGTTAAACGAGGAATGGATGAATTCGATATAGACGAAGGTGAAAGTGAAACTGTTGATCACCTATTATTTATGGTACATGGAATCGGAGCGGCTTGTGATTTAAAATTTAGATCGGTTGAAGATGTAGGTGAGTAAATTAATTGATTTATTTAAACACCTTTTTTGATTTGGTCAAAAAATTTTTAGTTGATGAATTCCGTTCGATTGCTCTTCAATTAGTGAGAGCTCATTATCGTTCATCTTGCGATCGTAAAATAGTGCATCGCGTGGAAGTTTTGCCAGTAAGTTGGCATGAAAAACTTCATTGTGATGATACTGGAATTGATAATAAATTGAAAAGTATCACTTTGGAGAGTATCCCGAAATTGAGAGAGTTTACTAATGATACACTCTTAGATATATTGTTTTATACAAGTCCCGTTTATGGACAAACTATTATTACGTCTGTTAGCAACGAAATAAACTCGGTTTACGAATTGTTCAAACAACGAAATCCGAGTTTTAATGGTGGGGTTTCTTTGGGTGGACACAGCTTAGGTTCGCTGATTTTATTTGATATTCTTCGTAATCAACGTACTCCGGCTGAGCCACAAAAAGAAATTGGAGATTTATTGCAACCAGGTAAGAAATTTACACATCTTGCGTCGAGTTTGATAGCTTCCCGCGCAAGATGTGTAAAAACAACATTTTTTAAAGGCGATTTAATTTTTTTTTTAATTTAGACAATGCTGTTTCGTTGTCAACGGAAGAGAAACCACATCCTATGAATCGAAGTATGAGTAGAAGGTTTAGTTATGTGTTAGGAACCGTGGGAACAGGTCAACCAGAAATAATGTATCCGCAATTAGCGTTTCAACCACATACATTTTTCGCATTGGGATCGCCAATCGGAATGTTTGTAACAGTTCGCGGATTAGAAACTTTAGGGGAAACATTTAAACTCCCAACATGTTCAGGTTTCTTCAACATATTTCACCCATATGATCCAGTCGCGTACAGAATCGAATCGCTTGTTAATGAGAAATTGGCTGACATAAAACCGGTGTTAATACCACATCATAAAGGAAGAAAGCGAATGCACTTGGAATTGAAAGAGACAATGACGCGAGTTGGAGCTGATATTAAGCAAAAGGTGATGGATTCCATGAAGAATACGTGGAATTCGTTCTTTCAAGGTTGGACAAGTAACAAACCAAGTTTAGAGGAGGAAGTTGATAAAGCGATTGAGGAAGGTTTCTCAAGCAACAATCAAGAAAATAATAATGAAAACCAAGAAAATGAAAAGACTGATCTCTGTCTTGGGTTGTTAAATAAAGGAAGAAGAATCGATTATGTGTTACAAGAAGCACCCGTCGAATTTTTTAATGAATACATTTTTACTTTATCTAGTCATTTATGTTATTGGTAAGATACGAGATTACGTTTTATATCTTCATATTAACACACAATTTTTAGGGAATCTGAAGATACAATATTAATGATGCTTAAAGAAATTTATGGAACTTTAAACATTTCTCCAGATAATCAAATTCCACAGCAAACGATGACGATAGAAAGACCACCATCATCACCCCAATCAGCAAGATCTTACGTAACTTCAACTACAGTAAATAATTCGCAACTGGGGGTTAATCCAACTTTACCAATGAATAAAAACGCAGACATTGGACCACCACCCGTTTCCGGATTTGTTAGAAAATCGTAATGACGAAAAACATTTACCGTTTTGATTCAATCTGTGATTGATATTGTTTTGAGAGTTTAAAAAAAAATGTAATTTATTTTCATATGGTTCGATTTTTTAAGACAATTTATTATTAAATGTTATAGTACGTTCGTTTTTTTTTTATTAAATAAAATGTTTTTATTTGAAAATTCTTAATTTTTTTTTTCCTTATTTCATATAATAGAATTATAATATATGAATTTCATATAACTCGCAATATATGAATGCAGTAACCATAGTTACATTCGGATTTAGCCACACGTCTCTCAAAACGGCTAATAACGAATAATTCTAGTTCTAGGTCTTGTGTTAGTTTTAGTGATAGTGCTGATGCAAAACTAGAAACATTCGGGTTTAGCCATACGTCTCAAGACTGCTAAACCCGAATGATTCTAGTTCTAGGTCTTGTGTTAATTCTAATGATAGTGTAAAACTGGAACTAACACTAGACCTACAACTAGAATCATTCGGGTTTAGCCGCACGTCTCTCAAGACGGCTAAACCCGAATGATTCTAGTTCTAGGTCTTGTCTTAGTTCTAATGATAGTGTAAAACTGGAACTAACACTAGACCTACAACTAGAATCATTCGGGTTTAGCCGCACGTCTCTCAAGACGGCTAAACCCGAATGATTCTAGTTCTAGGTCTTGTGTTAGTTCTAATGATAGTGTAAAACTGGAACTAACACTAGACCTACAACTAGAATCGTTCGGGTTTAGCCGCACGTCTCTCAAGACGGCTAAACCCGAATGATTCTAGTTCTAGGTCTTGTGTTAGTTCTAATGATAGTGTAAAACTGGAACTAACACTAGACCTACAACTAGAATCGTTCGGGTTTAGCCGCACGTCTCTCAAGACGGCTAAACCCGATTGATTCTAGTTCTAGGTCTTGTGTTAGTTCTAATGATAGTGTAAAACTGGAACTAACACTAGACCTACAACTAGAATCGTTTGGGTTTAGCCGCACGTCTCTCAAGACGGCTAAACCCGAATGATTCTAGTTGTAGGTCTTGTGTTAGCTCTAATGATAGTGTAAAACTGGAACTAACACTAGACCTACAACTAGAATCATTTGGGTTTAGCCGTCTTTAGAGACGTGCGGCTAAACCCAAATGATTTTAGTTGTAGGTATAGTGTTAGTTCTACATAGTAACAGTGTTAGTGTAAAATTAATAGAACTAGAAACATTCGGGTTTAGCCGAACGTCTCTCAAGACGGCTAAACCCGAATGATTCTAGTTCTAGGTCTTGTGTTAGTTCTAGTACAATATATGCAACATAGTCAAATTATATTCATGTTGCATTTTATGTAGTGACAAAGTAAGTAGATACGCGCTGGTTTCTGTGGAAATATATTTTTGTATATTGCATATTAAGTGAAATTCACTGTATACAGATGTCCCGTATCTTCCGCATCACAGCATAATACGGTTGAAGAATACATTATTCTGAAGCGATTTTTCTAATAAAATTTTTTTTGAAATATTTATAATAAGGTAAGAAAATCGCTTTGCCGCGCCGTTCATAACTCGTTTCTCGCGTGTACTCACCAATCGATTCGACACGGAAAAAGTAATAATCTTTTTCCGCGAATCGCTATTGGACGATTTTAAAACGAATAATAATTTATTCTCAAAGTGGAGGTTGATGTAAACTAGACGTGTGATATTAATATATTAATATAACTTCCGCTTTAGTTAGAAGGTGAAAAGGGGATTCCAATTTTATAAAATTTTTTATTAACAAAACTGTTTTTAATATTTATTTGAAACCCATTTTTAAATTAAACATTTGATATACATAACTTAGCTTTTAAATCAACACAAATTTCCTGTTGCTCCATAATTCGCCTCACCAAATTAATTTTTTTAATCTGTAATATTTGATTTTCCTTGCTAAGTAAATCCATAAGTTCCTCTAAATTTCCAGATCCATTATAACTAATCATGCTGTAATCATTGTTTTCGGTTAGTTTTTGTTTCAACAATCCAATTTCACCTTTTTCTTCATCAATACACCTCTGCAGTTTATTTTTTAACTCTAATAGGAGCTTATTTTTTACTTGCAACAATTCTATTTGATTCTCAACGCCACTTTCTTCTTTCGCTTTTTCTTGAACGACATCAACGACCGCCGAATCAACGTTATCTTGATTATCTGAAGATAAATCTTGTTCTTCAACGTTTCTCTCGCCTTCACTTTGTTCGTTTTCTTGCGTTATTTCTCCATTTTTAACAATTTCATTAAATCCTTTCGATTTTTCGTGTTCTTTATCTTTCTGCATTACGTTTTTATACGTTCTTTTTAATTGTGTTATTATCCTTTGTACTTCCCACATTAATTCTTCACGATGTCGCGCGATGAATCCCTCTTGAATCTCAGCATGGATTTGAGCTAAAAGAGATTCTTGCTTTTTTAACTCCTCTTCAATTAAATCAGGATCAATTGGGAGTTGTGCGTTTGGTTTTAATGGGGGGATATAACGCGTTATTTGAGTGTTTGGAAATAAAGATTGACAATGATATAATAAAGCTGTAAATAAACGATTTGATAAGTGTAAAATGGGGGAAAGGGATGTGATGAGAGTTTGGAGATTAACTTTATTTGCTTTTTCCTAAAAATTTTTAAATTTTTTTAATTATTTTAATAAGATAAGTGAAATGATTGACTTACATTTGATATAACGTTATCGAAATGTAATAATAGATAAGATAGTAATAATTTGTTACTGGTGGGTAGAGATTCGATTAATATTTTTAAATGTTTTTCTCTTGTGGTAACATTTAGGATGGCTCCGGCTTCTTCAAAGCGAATTAAAAGGTCACTTGTTAGAACCGGTTCTGGTAAATCTCGCAAATAAAGTTTTAAAAGGCTTGTAACTGTGGGAATATCATATTCTGTGCAGTCAATTTCTTCGCGGCAGTTAAACATTTTTCTTAATTGCAAAACTTTAGATTTTGTTCCAGTTACTTTGTAAACACCTTCAAAGTAAAGACCATTTGCTTGGACATGATCTATGCAAATCCTAACTGGAAGGGGAATGTCTACTCCATCATGGCACCGACTTCTTTCAATTGCCACATCTAGTTTTGCGCCAAAAATGGGAAGTTTTTCTGAAAGATCGCCCTCTTCTAAGTGTTTTACTTTGCGTTCTTTTTTCTCGCTTTTTTTGTCTTTATCAACTTTTTTATCCGTTTTTTTCTCTTTATCTTTTTTCTTTTCCACAATTTCTTTATCAGAAGATTTTTCCCGCTTATCTTTTGATTTGGTAGAAAATTTAAAAGGCTTTGTTTTTTTAGATTTTGATGGACTCCTTGATGAGCTTTCATCAGCTGAACTTTCCCCCTCTAAAGCTGCATAACCGCGTTCTTTATCTTTTTTATCCTTTTTATCTTTTCTTTTACCCATTAACAATTCTTTTTTAGTCATCTTATCACCACCATCGCTATCTAAACATTTTTTTTTAATTATTTAGTGAATCAAATTAGGTGAATCATCAAACAATTTTATTAAAATATTGCAAATATTACCTGGGTAATCTTTCATGTTATCAGGGCTTTCAAAATCCATTTTTGTTGCAAGAAATATTTTATTACGAGACTACACCTTGCGAAATTACAACACTTCTATTAAATATAAAGTAATAAAAGTAATTTTATACGATTTCATTGCGGTTTTTTTGTAACAGTTGGAGAGGTCATGTTGAAAACAATCCTCTGTCAAAAAGTTGTCAATGTGCTTTAAAGATGCTGAAAAGATATCTATAATAATTTTTGGTAAAGATATCTACCCAAGCTTCCTTAAGCCATCTGTACAAAAATAGCGAAATTAACTATTACGTCTAATACAAATTTTAACAGAATTAATCTTTATCATTAAATTTAGCTTTAAGTTCAAGAATAATATCACGATTAAATTGCCGAGGATCAACACCACGAGGATTAACATTATTCTTTATGTTCCCAAACTTGGTGAAACATCCACTTTTCTGTTCAAGCCCTTTTGAAGCATCTTCAGGAATCGTTGCAGCATCATTAACATTTCTCACGCTCCTTGTAGCCTCTTTAACATCCCATATCGTAATTTCATCAAAATCATCCGAATCTTTGTTCAAAAACTTTTGAATTTCAGTTAATAGTTGACTTTGGCTGGGTTTAATTTCTTTTGTTGATTGAGTCTCTTCTTTATTTGAATTGGAATTTTCTGAATCACCACGAAAAATGTCTTCATCAATTCCTGGTCGTTTGTTAACGTATGTTGTTGATTCAGGATTAATTTCGAGAGTTGCGACTTCGGGTTTTGGAATTTGGATGTCACAACCTTCTGGTATGTCATAAACATGAAGTGGTGGCGATTTTCGAACTAAAACTGATGCCTCATCTTGTTCGATTTCTTCAGAAGCCCCTTCGGAATCGGCAGTAAATTTAAAAGATGGTGTTCTAGAGATTGGACCAGTTGTTGTGAACATAAATGATGGCAATTCGTGTTCTTCGGCGTGTTTTAAAATAAATGATTGATTTGCATATATTGGTTCTTCACTTTTTAATTTTTCCTTGATAACTGATATTTCTTGGTATTCCAAATTTTCTTGATATTCTTTATTTTCGTGTTTCTCTTGATTTTCTGATGTGTTTTGGTCTTGAAATATTTCTTGGATTTCTGGATTTTCTGAATTTGATTGATTCTCTGTTTGCGCCCGATGTTCTCTAGATCTAAAGGACCCTCCAAATTTGTTGACCATAATATCTTGGAATTCGTGTAACAACACACGCTTAGCTAAATGAATAAGAAATAATTTTTAATTAGTTGTTAAAAAAATAACAACAAAAATTAGATACCTCTTAAATCGCGATAATCTTCGAAATAATAATCCTCCACATCATCTGTTTTGGTGTTGCACGCTAAATATTTCCAAATTTTTGACATTTTTTGTTTCTTTGGCGAAGGCTAATTAATAAATGAGTAATTTTTTTTTCTTCACAGGTTAAAATTGTTATCCCCCCAACTACTTATAGTGACTAATGAAATGTATAGTACAAAAAAAAATTAAAAAAGGATGTCTTATCGCTTAAAATTGGCTATTTCCACATTATATATTAATAAAAATTAAGGATATTTTTAGACATCCTAATCTAATTAATAGAATGTTTAATTTCGATTACGTTTTAATTAAGTTTATTTATGATATAAACTGTGTTAATTAATTATCGTACCCGACGTCATCATTGCAAGTATGCAACCAATATCACAGTGCAATACGCATCATACGTAAATCGCGTATTGCAATAAACATATTGTGATATTGGTTGCATACTTACAACACCCTAACTTGAATATGGTTCAAAATATCATCAAACGATCAAAATTTGTAGCAAATTTTGCTCTTTTTCATTTTTATTGAAATTAATTAATTAATTATTAATAAATATCATTTCTTATAAAAACAGATTTCTCTTCCAAGAACGAGATATACAATAATGTTATTTTTGGCTATTAAAAACTAGATGTCGTTGATTTCTACTCAAAAGATATTTAACCAAATTTTGTTTAGAAATAAATATAAACTTGTATAAATAAATATAACAATATTACTTACCGATTATCCATTTCCTATAAATATTTACATTACATAAACCTTCAGTAAGGAAGATACTGTAATCATCGGCGGCTTATTTTTAAAACAAAAAAAAAGAAAATAAACAACGAATATTTTTTTTGTCAGAAACATATTTATATTTTAAATATAAACTCTTAGAATTAAGTACATACAGAACAAATATTTCATTTATAATTTCCTGCATTATTTTTAAAATTTTCATATTTTTATCTAAAAAACAAATCGATAAATAAAATTCTATATATTATATAGACATTATATACAACATTACCTTATGGATGTGTGTTTTGTGTGAGTGCTGGATCTAGAGATCTGCCTTGTGCTATAATTAGTCGTGTTTACCGCATTTTGTCTCTGCCATCTTCTGGAAAAGCAGCAGAGAGCCGATTGAAAGCTATCCCGAAAGTTTTTCGACATAAACCCATAAATTATTGGGTTTATACAGCTGAAAATAGAAAATAGATATACGAAACGTTGCACACAATTTGCAAGTCGGCGAAATCTGGATACTTAAAATTCATATTTTACCTATTGACATAAGCCATTAATGTAAAAGCGGTTAATACGTATTTGTGTATACCGATTTTTTCAAATGGTAATTTTTCGTAAGCTGTTAACACATTTTCAATCAATAGCGGACCCCAACAAATTGCAAAAAGAACAACGACAGCTACCAACATATGTATTACTTGACGAACAGTTTTTGTATCTTCATTTCGATTATCAACACTTTTTGATTTCGATGAATCATTTAAATTAATGTACACATTATCTGTTCTTATTGAACCACATCTTGACTTCTCTAAAACTTCTCTGCTTGTCATCACTGATCTTAATGCGACCACTTTCCATACTTCAAAACATATGTTTTTATAGGCATAAGTCATTATTATTGTTGGAATTATTAAAACAAGCAACAACATGTAAAGTTCGTGTGCTTTATATAAACCACTATTTTCCCAATTTTTTGAACACCAATATGCTGTTTGATTGATACCAACTTTCATGTGCTCCTAAATAGTACTAAAGTTATAAAAAAGTCATTTCATCAATTCTAATTTTACCTGAACAAATATTACGGGAGTTGCGAGCAAAATGGCTAGTATCCACGTGACTGCTATGACCTTCCTAGCTTGGCTGACGGTGCAAATATATCTGGCTTGCATGGGATGCAGTATCGCATAGTAACTGGAACAATTAGGAGCGTGTTATGGTTTTGGAGGAAGCTTGTTTTGATTTTCGCAATGTGCACATGAAAGTAATAAACGAACATCTAAAATTTAAAACTAACGTTTTTGTTTATCACAAATAAAATGTTCAAAGAAACCCAAACATGTTATAATTTTAATCCAATTTAACACTCCTTGATTTTGACACTTTCTTTGATTTCAGATACATACAGTGTGTTAATTAATATAATTAATCATCGTACCCGACGTCATCATTACAAGTATACAACCAATATCACAGTATTGGTATTGCAATAGGCAAATCGCGTATTATAAAATAAATACTGTGATATTGGTTGGATACTTGCAATGATGAATACGTCCTCAAAGAAGTGAAATAATGAAGAGATCACACTATATAACACTTACCCCCAGTACAAGACATTTGTAAATTTTTAAAAATTCATGAAAAATTCGTTTCTGGGAAAAATTATCTGGAATATCTAAATATAATAAAGATAAGTATCTACTTTCTGTTGGCAGAAACCATTTTTAAAAATTCCGTTTAGTTTTTGAGAAATACATTTTCAAAAATGATCCAAATCTTTTAAATTTGATAGGTTTTGGAGTTAACTTTAAAAATTCATAAAAAATTCATTTCTCGGCAAAATTATCAAGAATTTCTAAATATAATAAAGAAAAGTGTTTATTTTTTAGTGGAAGAAATCGTTCTTAAAAAATCCGTTTAGTTTTTGAGAAATAAATTATCAAAATTGCTCATTTTTTATAGTTTAATTAATTTTGAAGATAACTTTAAAAATTCATAAAAAATTCATTTCATAGATAATCAATCTGAAATTTCTATATGAAATAAAGAAAAATCTCAAATTTTTAGTGGAATCAACCGTTTTTAAATATTTCGTTTAGTTTTTGAGAAATAAATTTTCAAATTTGCTCATTTTTTATAGTTTCATTAGTTTTGGAGTTAACTTTAAAAATTCATGAAAAATTCATTTGTTGGCAAAATTATCAGGAATTTCTAAATATAATAAAGAAAAGTGTTTACTTTTTAGTGGAAAAAATCGTTCTTAAAAAGTTCGTTTCGTTTTTGAGAAATAAATTATCAAAATTGCTCATTTTGTATAGTTTAATTAATTTTGAAGATAACTTTAAAAATTCATAAAAAATTCATTTCTTAGATAATCAATCTAGAATTTCCATATGTAATAAAGAAAAGTCTCTACTTTTTGGTGAAATCAACCGTTTTTAAATATTTCGTTTAGTTTTTGAGAAATAAATTTTCAAATTTGCTCATTTTTTATAGTTTCATTAATTTTGGAGTTAACTTTAAAAATTCATAAAAAATTCATTTCTCGGCAAAATTATCAGGAATTTCTAAATATAATAAAGAAAAGTGTTTATTTTTTAGTAGAAGAAACCGTTTTTAAAAATTCCGTTTAGTTTTTGAGGAATAAATTTTCAAAAATGGTCTAAATCTTTTAAATTTCATAGATTTTGGAGTTAACTTTAAAAATTCACGAAAAATTCATTTCTTGCAAAACTTATTTGGAATTTTCAAATATAATAAAGAAAAGTGTTTACTTTTTAGTGGAAGAAATCGTTCTTAAAAAATCCGTTTAGTTTTTGAGAAATAAATTATCAAAATTGCTCATTTTTTATAGTTTAATTAATTTTGAAGATAACTTTAAAAATTCATTTCTTAGATAATCAATCTGGAATTGCCATATGTAATAAAGAAAAGTCGCTACTTTTTGATGAAATCAACCGTTTTTAAATATTTCGTTTAGTTTTTGAGAAATAAATTTTCAAATTTGCTCATTTTTTATAGTTTCATTAGTTTTGGAGTTAACTTTAAAAATTCATGAAAAACTCATTTTTTGGCAAAATTATCAGGAATTTCTAAATATAATAAAGAAAAGTGTTTATTTTTTAGTGGAAAAAATAGTTTTTAAAAATTCCGTTTAGTTTTTGAGGAATACATCTTCAAATTTGCTCATTTTTATAGTTTGATTAGTTTTGGAGTTAACTTTAAAAATTCATAAAAAATTCATTTCTCGGCAAAATTATCAGGAATTTCTAAATATAATAAAGAAAAGTGTTTATTTTTTAGTAGAAGAAACCGTTTTTAAAAATTTCGTTTAGTTTTTGAGGAATAATTTTTTAAAAATGGTCTAAATCTTTTAAATTTGATAGGTTTTGGGAGTCAACTTTAAAAATTCATGAAAAATTAATTTTTTGAGAAAATTATATGGAATTTCCAAATATAATAAAGAAAAGTCTCTACTTTTTAATGAAATCAACCGTGTTTAAATATTCCGTTTAGTTTTTGAGAAATAAATTTTCAAAGTTGCTCAATTTTTCATAGTTAGAAAATTCATGAATAATAATTAAATAATAAATAAATAAAGAACTTACCGTTCAATAGAAATTGCTGTCAATGTCAAAACTGAACAAATAGCCGAAAGGTTCTGCATATAGTGCACCAATTTACATAAAATGAGACCCATGGTCCAAGTATATGAAAATAATTTAGCCAACTGAAAAATAACCAAAAAAAGAAAAAATATTTATTTATATAATATTTATTTTGGATTGTTTTTGGGTTAATTTTTATTATCGGGTGTTACGCGTGCAATAATGATAATGTTCACATTTTATGAAAATGTAACGATACCGCTATTAACTAATAGACCATTATGATAATAAAATATGGGCTATCTAAAAAAAGGTGAAAAAATGTTAAAAAAATGAATTTGGTTTAAAATTTGTTTTTATTTATTCTTCCTAAGTGTAAAATTGAGTTAATAGAAAAGTAAAATATTGGAAAAAAAATATATTGGAGTTAAAAATGAATAAATGTTTGGAAATGTTAGACATTTAAAAAACGATCCAGTTAAAATAACAGATAGGTAGTCTCTAAAATAAGATAAACTTTTTTTTTCGGTCTAGTGTTAGTTCTAATTTTACACTAATACTGTTACTATGTAGAACTAACACTATACCTAGAACTAGAATCATTTGGGTTTAGCCGCACGTCTCTAAAGACGGCTAAACCCAAATGATTCTAGTTCTAGGTATAGTGTTAGTTCTACATAGTAACAGTGCTAGTGTAAAACTAGAACTAACACTATACCTAGAACTAGAATCATTCGGGTTTAGCCGTCTTTAGAGACGTGCGGCTAAACCCAAATGATTCTAGTTCTAGGTATAGTGTTAGTTCTACATAGTAACAGTGCTAGTGTAAAACTAGAACTAACACTATACCTAGAACTAGAATCATTCGGGTTTAGCCGTCTTTAGAGACGTGCGGCTAAACCCAAATGATTCTAGTTCTAGGTATAGTGTTAGTTCTACATAGTAACAGTGCTAGTGTAAAACTAGAACTAACACTATACCTAGAACTAGAATCATTCGGGTTTAGCCGTCTTTAGAGACGTGCGGCTAAACCCAAATGATTCTAGTTCTAGGTATAGTGTTAGTTCTACATAGTAACAGTGCTAGTGTAAAACTAGAACTAACACTATACCTAGAACTAGAATCATTCGGGTTTAGCCGTCTTTAGAGACGTGCGGCTAAACCCAAATGATTCTAGTTCTAGGTATAGTGTTAGTTCTACATAGTAACAGTGCTAGTGTAAAACTAGAACTAACACTATACCTAGAACTAGAATCATTCGGGTTTAGCCGTCTTTAGAGACGTGCGGCTAAACCCAAATGATTCTAGTTCTAGGTATAGTGTTAGTTCTACATAGTAACAGTGCTAGTGTAAAACTAGAACTAACACTATACCTAGAACTAGAATCATTCGGGTTTAGCCGTCTTTAGAGACGTGCGGCTAAACCCAAATGATTCTAGTTCTAGGTATAGTGTTAGTTCTACATAGTAACAGTGCTAGTGTAAAACTAGAACTAACACTATACCTAGAACTAGAATCATTCGGGTTTAGCCGTCTATAGAGACGTGCGGCTAAACCCAAATGATTCTAGTTCTAGGTATAGTGTTAGTTCTAGTTTTTCACTAAATCACTAGTGAATATAATAAAATTAATTTATTTTAAAATTTAATTTTATTTATTCTTTCTAAGTATAAAACTGAGTTAATAGAAAAGTAAAATATTGCAGTAAAAACTTTTGATCGTAGATGAAGAACTAAGACAGGGTGAAATAAACACTACAGCTATCATAACAAACAAGATCTCTTCGGATGTTTGATGATTTATTAATTCTTGTCAAAAAATAAGGAGGAAACGGTTTAAAATTTTAAATTAGTTGAAATAATAATGAAGAGAAGTTAAAAAAAGAGTAAATGTTTGGAAATGTTAGACATTTAAAAAACGATCCAGTTAAAATAACAGATAGGTAGTCTCTAAAATAAGATAAACTTTTAGGAATTTTAAGCAATAACAAAGGAATTTCACATTATTTCTATTTTTTCTTCTACTAAATACAAATCAAAACGTCTCGAAATAAGCTCAAGTGTTTCTCTATAAATATAAGCTTTTACACTGCACAAAAATCGTGGAAATGAACGGAATGACTCACGGACGCACCGTTCTCTAAACGTTCAAGATAATAAAGCACAAGTTTAAACAAACCTTTGCATACCGAATTCCAAAACACAAATATACTAAGCATTTGTAAGAAAAATGATTACGTACCTTCACCGGTATGCATATTACAATTAGCAAAAGATCTGCGGACGCCAAACTAGCCAACAAAATATTTGTCACGCTCTGCATCTTTCGATATCTATACGTCGCCACGATGATCAAACTATTTCCACACAATCCAACCAAAAACGTTACAGAATAAACCATTAACGTCGGCGTCAATTCGGCCCAATTAAAAGTTGTAAAAGAAGTTCCAGAGTCATAATCGTAGTTGTATGGTGTACTACTCTCTTCTTGAACCATATTTATTCTTTGGATATATATTATTCTAGCTTTTTGGACTAAATAAAATAAAACATAGATTGATCTAATTGATCTCAATTGGTTTTGGAGATTACTTCGGGATTAAACCACGTCGTAGACTGAACGCAGAGCGTCGCGACGTCCGTATATACGACGTCGAAAATTGACGTAGATAATCGTCGGCATATAACTATTGCGATTTTAGTGTAAATATAATTTTTTATTATATTGCTAATGATGTATCTATTAAGATTAATTGCGCATATTAACTCAAATTCAATAAATATTAAGTATATACAGGGTTGTTCTTTTAACATGAGAAAAGTTAATATATAGAAATCGTTGTTTTACGTAAAAATAAATTAATTAAAATTAATTTTTTAAATAAAAAATGTTTCATTTAAAAAAATTGTTAAATAATTAAAATTTTTTCAATTTCCACATATTCGATTGTCTCAAGTTTATTCGACCACCTGTATATGATGGGGTTCCTGGATAATAGCATGTCATATTCTAATTTTTTTTATCATTATTGCTTATCTCGATTGTCGTCACGGTGTATTGAGTTTGACTTTGGATAGAAAAAAATCTATCATTGGCAATATGGTATTAAAAGCACGATTAAAAGAAAAGTTGATGAAATTTAATTTTTAATTAACTTATCAATTTCAACATTAATACTACAATCGATAAGTATAATGAATAATAAATAAATGTTGGAATATTTTTAAAATTTTTTTAAATTTTTAATAAAATTGTAAAATAATTGTCAAGAAATTTGATAAAAATTAAAAAAAAAATATTTTTAATATTGTTTTAAAGGAAAAATTTTTGTTACACCTAAATAAATGCAGCATTAGCCCATCTTTTAATCAGCAACCGAACTATTTTTTCTTGGAAATTTTGATAACTTGGGAGTTTCTATTGATTTTCAATATTTTCAAAAAATCAACAACACCCTGTTTATTTTTTTAACGTATGTCATCATTATGTTGCATATTTTTATTGAAACCGTCTTGAGAGACGTGCTAAACCCGAATGTTTCTAGTTCTAGGTCTAGTATTAATTCTAATTTTACACTAACACTGTTACTATGTAGAACTAACACCATAACTAGAACTAGAATCATCTGGGTTTAGCCGCACGTCTCTAAAGACGGCTAAACCCAAATGATTCTAGTTCTAGGTATAGTGTTAGTTCTAGTATTGCACTAGCACTGTCACTAGAACTAACACAAGACCTAGAACTAGAATCATTCGGGTTTAGCCGTCTTGAGGGATGTGCGGCTAAACCCGAATGTTTCTAGTTCTTGCTCTAGTGTTAGTTCTAGTATTGCACTAACACTATCACTAGAACTAACACTAGACCGAGAACTAGAAACATTCGGGTTTAGCCGTCTTGAGAAACGTGCGGCTAAACCCGAATGTTTCTAGTTCTAGGTCTAGTATTAATTCTAATTTTACACTAACACTGTTACCATGTAGAACTAACACTATACCTAGAACTAGAATCATTTGGGTTTAGCCGCACGTCTCTAAAGACGGCTAAACCCAAATGATTCTAGTTCTAGGTATAGTGTTAGTTCTAGTTTTACACTAGCACTATCACTACAACTAACACAAGACCTAGAACTAGAATCATTCGGGTTTAGCCGTCTTGAAAGACGTTCGGCTAAACCCGAATGTTTCTAGTTCTAGGTCTAGTGTTAATTCTAATTTTACACTAACACTGTTACTATGTGGAACTAACATTATACCTAGAACTAACACAAGACCTAGAACTGGAATCAATCGGGTTTAGCCGTCTTGAGAGACGTGCGGCTAAACCCGAATGTTTCTAGTTCTAGGTCTAGTATTAATTCTAATTTTACACTAACACTGTTACTATGTAGAACTATCACTATACCCAGAACTAGAATCATTTGGGTTTAGCCGCACGTCTCTAAAGACGGCTAAACCCAAACGATTCTAGTTCTAGGTATAGTGTTAGTTCTAGTTTTACACTAGCACTATCACTAGAACTAACACAAGACCTAGAACTAGAATCATTCGGGTTTAGCCGTCTTGAAAGACGTTCGGCTAAACCCGAATGTTTCTAGTTCTAGGTCTTGTGTTAGTTCTAGTGATAGTGCTAGTGCAATACTAGAACTATCGAGTTTAGCCGCACATCTCTCAAAACGGCTAAAGAAATTTAATGGAATTAAATTATAACACTAATTTCAATCGTTAACATTTATTTATGATTAATATAATATAATAAAAATACAATACAAATTGATTTAAAATATTTCATTAATACAATAAAATATGAGTTGTATTATCTCAAACATTTCTAACTTTTTTTTAAATTTGTAATTTGCTTCTTTGCTGGTCTCCATTTGATTCGTTTATTTTTCACTTCTCGTTGAATTTGTTTTTAAAACTTCCTCACTTAATCTCCAAAAAGGCATAAAATAATATTACAATAATTAAAAATATTAAATTCGGTGATTCTCAAATTGTAACTTTTTAAAATTATCCCCAAATCATCCTATTTAATTTAAAATTAACTTAAAGTAAGATAATACTAAAATGGAAGAATGAAAGAATTTAAATAATTAGCTTCAATTTTGTTACTTAAAACTAAATCACAGAATCGCTTATTATAAATCTAAAGTTTGGCAGTAACTCAATCTGGTTGTTTTTAGTTAAAAAAAAATAACTTAAATAATATTAATAATAAATTTTTTTGTTTTATATAAAATCTTAATACAATACTTTAAAGCTGCGTCCCTGTACTGTTTAAGTTGAGTATCATTGCAATACTATATTAATAAAGAATATTTTCGACTGATAAAAAATTAGGAGTAGGCGGTTCAGTTTAAATGTAAAATACAAAAAGGACGATTTTCAAATTGGACGATATCAATATTAAATTTTAATGAAATCAATTCGAAAAATCAAATCCTCAACGTTACGCGTATGGTGATGAACACAATAATCCGCGTATAATAAATAAATAAATTAAAATAAAAAAGAATAAATTCGTTTTTGGCTCGATACTTTTAAGAAAATTTGTAGAAGAGACCGTAATTCCGGCTTTGTGCTAACCCGCAAGATACCTCCAACCACATTCAAAAACACCTAAACGTACCAAATAAATCGGCAGAATGATCGAGATAAAAATTTGTTTTGAGAAAAGTCGTACTAAACACAAGACAGACATATTCCATAGCAGTGGAATATCTCCACCAGTTGAATTAAATTTTATCGATTTATGGACATATTCCACTGGTATGGAACTTGCCAATTCTGCATTTAGCTCAATACAGTTTTTTCGCAATTAATTTTCGTTTTCCAACTTTCCACCCATTTCTCATCTTCGTTTTGATGCTTTTGAAGGTGGTCAGAAGCAACTTGCGGATTAAAATACAAAGTCAGAATTACAGTATCATCTACATATGTGGATCATATATATACAGAGAAGTTTGAGCAAAGTTCGAACCTATTAAACGAATTTATTATATTCTTCCTAATCTCGCTCGAACATAAACCACCATACGATGACTCGCACAAAATGATTTACAACTGCGAGATGGGGTAGAATATAGGGCTTTATCAGTGGAAAATATTTAGGAACACAATGGTGTATATAAAAAGAAATCAAACCAACATAAATCAAGATCAATTAAACACATATCGTAATTTATATTATAAAATAATAATTATATTGTATTTTTGCCTATTACAACACACATTGTTTAACTGATCTTAAATATGAATCACGATAAAATAAAATTAAGACTTAAACTTAATATCACAGCCACATTTGATTCCATTAAAATAATTTATTAATTAAAGAATTTTTAAAAGATTGGAATTACAGATATTCAAAATCTAAAATATGTAATGCTGTGATTCATTGTTAGTTTGATTTATGATTTGGGGAAAAATTTTATCGACTCAAAAATGTGCATTGTTAAAAATTAAGTTTAATGTAATCTGTATTCCAAGTATTATTGAAATAATAAAATTTATACAGAAACGGAAAAGTTTTAAAGTATTACTAAATTACGCCTTTTGGAGATTGCTTGAAAATGAGTATTGGACAAAATATCCAAAAAAAAATTTTTAACTCATATTTAGAACTAAATTCTTATATAACTAGATCGATTATATAAAGTTATTTAAAACTTGATTATTAATTTTTTTCTTTCTTTTCCTAAAAATATTATTTTTTCCATAGCAACAAACACAAAAAAGATCTAAATCATACCTGGGATTGCAGCCAATCCAAATAAATTCTAATAACCATCCGAAGAAAATCACGTTGCCGATCGGCTTCCGTTTGTTCATTCTCTCTCGACTTTTTATTCTCCATCTTCAACTTTCTTGTCGAAATTCTTCTAAAAAGTTCTGTAACAAAAATTTAAAATTAATTTTAAGCACTTTTAAAGCTTATTGAAGTTACCTTGTTCAAGATGTACGAAGCACTTAATAATTGAATGGAAAAATCTGCATTTGCGCCCGGTATTTATACGCTCCGTATCGCAAGTTTTTGGCGTAAACCAATTAAAAGCTCTTAACTTATCAAAAGTTCAAAATAAAAAAAATTATACGTATAATATAACTAAGCTTTTGATTAAAAGATGGCTCTGCATGTCGATCCTTTAAAACAATTTTGTTAAATTTTGTACAATAACCTCTAAGAAGTTTTTATGATATTAAATAAATTAATAAAATAGGTAATAAACGGAATTTTGGTGATAATAATAAAGTTATGATCGCTTAAATAGAACGTATTGCAAGTACACATTCCTAGTAATCGAAATAACTAAAGATAAATAGAGGATATCATATCAACTTCCAGTTTTGATATCTTATTCCCACGCAGATTTTTTTTATCTTGATCATGAAGACACAACAAAGCCGTGGTACGAACATGCACGATCTAAAATATGTTTATGAAACCATATATTGTTATATGTTATATATATGAGGTGATCAATTTATGGTCGAATTTATATCTAATTAGCTATAATTAGTTAATCAACTTGTAAAATTATTTGCATCATTACCGTCGATTTTTAGTAGTTATGTAAAGAAAATCAAGGTTACAAATTTTTGTTCTAAATTATTTTCTTAGGTTTTGACTAACATTTAGTACTCCACCATTCACAGGAATTAATATCTCTTTTAAGTGTTAAACACTGCAGATAATAACCAAGTTCAAGCAATTTATTTATATCAGGTTTGTCATTAGCACTTAAAGATTAAATACCGGAATGGCATTCCTTCTATTATTCAAGCCAATTCGGAAAACTGATAACACCCAACAGGCAAAATTCCTTCTCTTTTTATTACCAAAATGTTAGAGGTTTGAATTCAAAAACCCACATTTTCTATAACAACGTTATTAATTTTTTACTAATTATTATAATGTTATTTGTAAGGATAGGGATTTTGCAGTGATTAATCGTGGGAGGAGCGGTGGGGTTTTGCTTGCACTAAAACACCATACCATTTGACATTATCGATACTAGTCATCTTCGTGCAACAGTACCTATGATAGATTTAGTAATCTGTAGGTGTCTTATTAATGACAAGTCTATTTTAATCATACTAGTCTAAAATGAGGATGGCAGAATGTTGGATTTGTTGATCTCTAATGCTGACCTGAATTTTCACATAATAAGATCTGATAATCCAGTTGTACCAGAAGATTCTTATCATCCCAGTCTTGAAGTGGAGGTTTACTACTCTACTCCTACCAATCAACAGCGGTTCCCATCTTCTGATAATTTACGACTCATCGAGCAAATTACAATGCATTATATGATCACTTCTTTAACTATGATTGGTCTTTTGTGCTTTCCCATACCGATGTCAATGAGGCATAGTAATATTAAAAAACGACATTAAGTATCGTAACAACATACAAAATACCATCAAAACAAATCCGTCCGTTATATGGAATTTTCTCCGAGCTAAGAAATGAGAGCAATGTTCTTGCTGATCCTCAAGATATTGTAAATGCTTTTGCTAACATGTTTTCTGCTGTTCACACTGTATCTACTGATCGAACTTTCACTGAATCTGATTTCAATACGTTGCCATACTCTTTTTATCCCACAACAGAAGCGGAGCTAATTAAATTAATGGCAACGTTTTCTAATAAGCATACTGCTGGAGATAATTTGATGCCAAGTTTTATAGTCAGAGACTGCCGTTATATATTTGCTTGCCCTCTTAAATTTATTATTAACTTGTCCATTACGTCCTGTGAATTTCCTGAACGATGGAAACGATCAAGAATTGTGCCCTCTCAAACTATAGACTAATTTCGATAATGTCCAATTTTGCAAAACTATTTGAAAAGTTATTATATTCTTTTATGTGTTTTATGTCTTTATGTTTTAGTTTTTGGGAAAACAATATTTGAAGTTTTGATAATTTGCAATTTTCAAAATTCGCTATAATATTAATTTCTTGAAGGATCCTTGTGGAAGTATCACCAATTATTAATTAAACTATCCTAATTTTAATGCAACAAGCCGTTTTGAAAAATCACTTTTAGTTTTTGAGAAATAAATGTTTGAAATAATCGACAATTTTTTCGAATTTTGCAATATTCGCCGATTAAGAATTAAAAATTCGTATAAAATCGATTTCTTGGAATATGAGTATGAAAATGTCCCAAAATGTTAATAAAAGTGTGCTCTTTCCAATGAACTAACCCGTTTTGAAAAATAACTTTTAGTTTTTGAGAAAACAATATTTGAAGTTTTGATAATTTGCAATTCTCATCGATAATTTTCAAAATTCGCCATAAAATTAATCTCTTGCAGGATCCTTATGGAAATATCACCAATTATTAATTAAAGTATCCCCTTTTTAATGCAAAAAGACGTTTTGAAAAATCACTTTTAGTTCTTGAGAAATAAATTTTTGAAATGATCGACAATTTCTTCGAATTTAAAATTTTTGCCGATTAAGTTTTAATAATTCGTATAAAATCGATTTCTTGGAATATGAGTATGAAAATTTCCCAAAGTGTTAATAAAAGTGTCCTCTTTCCAATGAACCAACCCGTTTTGAAAAATAACTTTTAGTTTTTGAGAAAACAATATTTGAAGTTTTGATAAATTGCAATTTTCATCGATAATTTTCAAAATTCGCTATAAAATTAATCTCTTGAAGGATCCTTGTGGAAATATCACCAATTATTAATTAAAGTATCCCCTTTTTAATTCAAAAAGACGTTTTGAAAAATCACTTTTAGTTCTTGAGAAATAAATTTTTGAAATGATCGACAATTTTTTCGAATTTAAAATTTTCGCCGATTAAGATTTAAAAATTCGTATAAAATCGATTTCTTGGAATATGAGTATGAAAATTTCCCAAAATGTTAATAAAAGTGTGCTCTTTCTAATGAACCAACCCGTTTTGAAAAATAACTTTTATTTTTTGAGAAAACAATATTTGAAGTTTTGATAATTTGCAATTTTAATCGATAATTTTAAAAATTCGCTATAAAATTAATTTCTTGAAGGATCCTTGTGGAAATATCACCAATTATTAATTAAACTATCCTAATTTTAATGCAACAAGCCGTTTTGAAAAATCACTTTTAGTTTTTGAGAAATAAATGTTTGAAATAATCGACAATTTTTTCGAATTTTGCAATTTTCGCCGATTAAGATTTAAAAATTCGTAAAAAAATCGATTTCTTGGAATATGAGTATGAAAATTTCCCAAAATGTTAATAAAAGCGTGCTCTTTCCAATGAACCAACCCGTTTTGAAAAATAACCGGGTAGTTATGCTGGATAACCAGATATCCGGGTTTTCGCAAAATCACTAATTTAGACGATTGTACGATTGAATTACATACGATTAGAACGAAGTATTTTGTTCATACTTAGCACGAACGATAGATTCCCGAGAATACGACATATTCAAAAAACAGTTTAAAATCTATGTATTAAGAAATGCAATTTTCTCGGAAATTTCGATAACTCCGAAGCTTTTAATTGGTTTCACCAACAATTATAACGATAACAAGCATATAAATACATGGTGTGAATGCTTCCACTTAATACATTAATAATTTTAATTGAGTACTTCATACATCTTGCAAAGGTAAAAATTTTTTTTGTTGAAATTTATATTAATTGCTAAATAAGTTCGAATCGTAGATGGATAACAAGAAGGGAGAGAAAGATGGAGATGAAGCGGCAAACGCTGAACGACAAAGATTTATCTTAAGAATGATTGTTAGGATGTACTTGGATTGGTTGCAATCACAGGTAAGGTATTTTGAATTTATTTTGAGTTTGGTGGTGAAAAAAATGTTTTTAGGAAAAGAAAGAAAGAAAATAATCAAATAGTTAATATGAAGAATTTATTATTTAATTTATTTTTATAAAATTAATCCATAATCGCCCTTTCGCGGCAAGTATTACCCCGAATGGATCAAGTTCCACCGGCATTTTAGTTTTGTCATAATTTAATTTCATATTAAAGTTAGATACGAGTTTTAATAAAGCGATTTTTGATTGTAACAAAGCAAATTTTTGTCCTATACAAATTCTGGGGCCATCTCCAAACGGCATATAAGTGTATTTAATAATTTTTTCTTTGTTCTCCGGTAAAAATCGTTCTGGTTTAAAGACATCCGGCTCTGGAAAATATTTTTCGTCGTTTTGCAACGCATAAACTGGGATAACAATGGGTAAACCAATTTCTGATTTAAACTCGGACGATTTTGTTGTTGATTTTGGGAATGTGTACTCTTGAGTGCATACTTTTGTTAACTGTGGAAATGGTGGATATTTTCGTAATGACTCTAAAACAAAATAATTTTGATAAAACAATAATTTCATAAAATCAAACTAACCATGAATCACAGCGTTTAAATATTCCAGACTTTGGACACCTTCAAATGTTATAACCCCGTTGCAATCGTTTAGGTATTTCTTAATTTCTTGTCTTAAATTTTGTTGCACATCCTCATTCTTGGCTAATTCGTAAACCATAAAATTCAAGGCGCTCGAATTTGTTCCAAAGCCATCGATATAAACACCGCCGACTTGAGTCATTATATTCTCAATCGACATTTTTTTGCCCCGAAATTCTTTTATATGTTCGAAAAAATCGTTTCTTTTTAAATTCATTTCCTCTCTGTATCTTTCAACATCTTCAATCATTTTCTTGTACAAATTTTCTAAGGATTTCGAAATTAATCTTAATGAAATTACCTTCGATAGCCAAGGCATGACGAATAAAGCTATCACTTTCAATCCATTTTTTTTGTTTGGTTCAAAAATTGTTTTTCCCGCATTCCTCAACTTTGGTTCTTCACTTGTGAACGATTTCGCATCAATTCCTAAAGCAACGGATGTTACAACGTCAGTCGTATATCGTGCCATTAACTCCAAAGCATCCATACAATACATTTCTGTTTTATTTAGTTCACTTTTAAGATATTTTACCATTTTATCACCTACCTCATTTATTTCAGGAAACATATTCTTAACCTGGAATCAAATTAATCTTAACTTTTGCGATTTAAAATTTTTTTTTACCTTAGATCCGGTTAAACTAAGTAAATGTTGAGTTCTAATGTCTTTCCAATCACTTCCTTTAACAACAAAAGGATTATTTCCAAAAATTACATCGTCCTCTTTGTTTACATGAATATCGTTATCGTGAAAACTAGAAAAATTCTTCACTAAAATTTCTTCGACTAATTCTGGATCTCTAATCAAAACGCCAGGTCTATTCATCAAAAAAATCCCAACATAACGACAATTTTCGAACTTTTTGTAAATTTCCGTGAAAACCATGGTCAGAGATGATCGTAAAGTGACGAATTTGCTCATGTTTCCGAACGGGAAAATCGGCTCCGGTCCGGGAATATTTAAATTTATCCATTTTTTCAAAGTTTGCTTTTGATAAAAGTAATAAATTACTCTAAGTAGTAATGAAAGAATTAACAGCGACATTATTTCACTTCGAGTGATATTAAACGACTGAAACCTTTCTGCAAATAACAGCTTAATATTGATAATTTTGTTTATGAATATGAAATATATTGCGTGTTTTGATGACACGTGAAGTAATGGTGACCTTAAACAATTCGTTTAATATGTTTCAATTGGAAAAGTAGACTCTACATATATATATTGATTCCTACAAGAAAAATTAATTTGGAAAATAAAAATACAATTTTTTTTTTTATTTATTTGAAGTAATATAGTATAATAATAACGTAATAAATTATGCAATTTTGTTGTTAAATTTAATTTTGTTAAATTGTTATGATAACCTTTACGTCTTTTGAGAACTATTTTAAATCAAATTGCGAAATTAAATTAAACAAAATTTTTCAAAAGCTTTTTTGTAATTTTTTTGTAAAGCTGATAAGATGATGTTGATTTAACTAACGAAGAGAGAAGAGGATACTTTAATTAATAATTGGCGATATTTCCACAAGGATCCGTCAAAAAATAAATTTAATAGCGAATTTTGAAAGTTATCGATGAAAATTGCAACATCGAAAATTTTATCAAAATTTCAAATATTATTTTCTCAAAAAGTAAACGTTATTTTTCAAAACGGGTTGGTTCATTGGAAAGAGGACACTTTTATTAACACTTTGGGAAATTTTCATACTCATATTCCAAGAAATCGATTTTATACGAATTTTTAAAACTTAATCGGCGAAAATTGCAAAATTCGAAAAAATTGTCGATCATTTCAAAAATTTATTTCTCAAGAACTAAAAGTGATTTTTCAAAACGGCTTTTTGCATTAAAAAGAGGATTTTAATTAAAAATTGGTGATATTTCCACAAGGATCCGTCAAGAAATAAATTTTATAGCGAATTTTGAAAATTATCGATGAAAATTGCAAATTATCAAAACTTCAAATATTGTTTTCTCAAAAACTAAAAGTTATTTTTCAAAACGGATTGGTTCATTAGAAAGAGCACACTTTTATTAACATTTTCGGAAATGTTCATATTTATATTCCAAGAAATCGATTTTATACGAATTTTTAAAACTTAATCGGCGAAAATTGCAAAATTCGAAAAAATTCGCGATTATTTCAAAAATTCATATCTCAAGAACTAAAAGTGTTTTTTCAAAACGTTTTTTTACATTAAAAAGAGGATACTTTAATTAATAATTGTTGATATTTCCATAAGGATCCTTTAAGAAATTAATTTTATAGCGAAATTTGAAAATTATCGATGAAAATTGCAAATTATCAAAACTTCAAATATTGTTTTCTCAAAAAATAAAAGTTATTTTTCAAAACGGGTTGGTTCATTAGAAAGAGCACACTTTTGTTAACATTTTGGGAAATTTTCATACTCATATTCCAAGAAATCGATTTTATACGAATTTTTAAAACTTAATCGTCGAAAATTGCAAAATTCGAAAAAATTTTCGATCATTTCAAACATTTATTTCTCAAGAACTAAAAGCGATTTTTCATAACGGCTTGTTGCATTAAAATTAGGATACTTTAATTAATAATTGGTGATATTTCCACAAGGATCCTTCAAGAAATTAATTTTATGGCGAAATTTGAAAATTATCGATGAAAATTGCAAATTATCAAAATTTCAAATATTGTTTTCTCACAAACTAAAAGTTATTTTTCAAAACGGGTTGGTTCATTAGAAAAAGCACACTTTTATTAACATTTTGGGAAATGTTCATATTTATATTCTAAGAAATTGATTTTATACGAATTTTTAAAACTTAATCGGCGAAAATAGCAAAATTCGAAAAAATTGGGGATCATTTCAAAAATTTATTTCTCAAGAACTAAAAGTGACTTTTCAAAACGGCTTTTTGCATTAAAAAGAGGATACTTTAATTAAAAATTGGTGATATTTCCACAAGAATCCTTCAAGAAATAAATTTTATAGCGAATTTTGAAAGTTATCGATGAAAATTGCAACATCCAAAATTTAATCAAAACTTCAAATTTTATTTTTTCAAAAAGTAAAAGTTATTTTTCAAAACGGGTTGGTTCATTGGAAAGAGGGCACTTTTATTAACACTTTGGGAAATTTTCATACTCATATTCCAAGAAATCGATTTTATACGAATTTTTAAAACTTAATCAGCGAAAATTGCAAAATTCGAAAAAATTATCGATCATTTCAAAAATTTATTTCTCAAGAACTACCGTTATCCGGTCGAATTTAAAAAAATGGCCGGATACCGGATAGTTGCCATATATCCATTTCACCACTAGTTGCCATTAATAATTTATAAAACGAAATTCCTCAAATTTTCATACTTTTCTTAATATTTACATATCCGAGAGCAAAAGTGAATGAGAGCAATATTAAGAATAAAAAATTAATAATTAAAAAAAAATAAAATAAAAAATTAATTAATAATTAGCTACAACTGTTCTTCTAAGCTTTTTATTCCGTTTGTGATATATGATGTTGATATAAAAGCAGAGATAAACATTTATTCAATACCTTTATTAACGAATTGTAAATAATACATTTATTTTTTAGATGAATTAAAGACTTTCACAAAATTTTCATGGCATTTTTAATAACATATTAATTTCTCACAAAATATATATATATATATTAAACCTATGTAGTTATATCTTTAATATATCATACGGAGTGAAAGAAGGTGTCATATTTTAAACTAAGGACACTTCCTTCGCTACCGTACAACAAATTAAGATTAAAAATTAATAATTTTTAATAAATTTTAGAAAAATTTAATAATATAATATAGCATTCCAAAATTAACTTAAATATTGCAGTTATTATATCTTTAATGTGTCGTACGGTGTGAAAGAAGATGTTATATTTTAAATTAAACACGCTCCAGTCACTAACGTACAACAAATTAAGATTAAAACGACCACGTTGGATTTGATTTCGATTTGATTTGAAGAAATGTAAACTAAAAACAGAAAAAAAAACATTAATAATATTAATAATCCATAAAATATTAGTTTAATTAGCTCACAACTAGAATAGTCATCTTATCAGTCCATCCAGTTAATCAGATTGGTGGTGCCAGGTGCTGAAGTTGACGCATTCCAAAATTGACTTATATATTGCAGTTATTGTATCTTAATGTATCGTACGGTGTGAAAGAAGGTGTTATATTTTAAATTAAACACACTCCAGTCACAAACGTACAACAAATTAAGCTTAAAACGACCACGTTGGATTTGATTTCGACTTGATTTGAAGAAATGTCAATTAAAACCACAAAAAAATCAGGGAGACTGATTTCCAGAGACTGGAAAGGCAAGAAGGAGATTGGTAATAGAAGAAAAACAGTGAAGAGCGACTGGAAAAGAAAGATTAAGACCTGGATGAGATTAGGAAAAATAGAAGCAAAAGTCTCAATAGAGACTGAAAAGTAATTAATGTAACATAAATAAGTAATACAACATATTTTTGTCACCAAAAATAGCTTTCTATTCAACATTAGGTTGTAGTATTACTTTATGATGCAAAAGCATAAAATTCCTAAGCTTGGGATTTAAGACTTAAGACTGGTAGTACAAGAAAGAGACTGGAAATAGACTAATAATAAGAGAAGGAGACTCAATAGAGACAGGAATGAAACAAAATGGATTGAGCAGAGAAGTCAGAGACTGGAAAGAGATAGATATTAGGAAGAGATTGGAAACAGATCGGTTATCATAGAAAGAGCTAAACTGGCAGATTTAATACTGACTAATAATAAAAGAGTCACCAGTACTTTCTAAAGTTGATGCTTTCCAAAATTAACTTAAATATTGCAGGTATTGTATCATAATGTATCGTACGGTGTGAATGAAGGTGTTATATTTTAAATTAAACACTCCAGTCACACCCGTACAACAAATTAAGATTAAAACGATCACGTTGGATTTGATTTCGAGTTGACTTGAAGAAATGTTCACTAAAAACAGAAAAGTAACATTAATAATATAAGAAAATAAATAATAACGCATAGAATGTTAGTTTAATTAGCTCACAACTAGAATACCCATCTTATGATTCCATCCGGTTGATCAGATTGGTGGTGCCACGTACTGAAGTTGACGCATTCCAAAAGTAACTTAAATATTGCACTTACTGTATCTTAATGTATCGTACGATGTGAAAGAAGGTGTTATATTTTAAACTAAACACACTCCAGTCACTAACGTACAACAAATTAAGATTAAAACCATCACGTTGAATTTGATTTCGACTTGATTTGAAGAAATGTCAACTATAAACAGAAAAAAAAACTTTAATAGTATTAATAATCCATAGAATATTAGTTTAATTAGCTCACAACTAGAATAGTCATCTTATCATTCCATCCCGTTGATCAGATTGGTGTTACCAGGTAGTGAAGTTGACGCATTCCAAAATTAACTTAAATATTGCAGTTATTGTATCTTAATGTATCGTACGTTGTGAAAGAAGGTGTTATATTTTAAATTAAACACTCTCCAGTCACAAACGTACAACAAATTAAGATTAAAACGATCATGTTGGATTTGATTTCGGCTTGATTTGAAGAAATGTCAACTATAAACAGAAAAAAAACTTTAATGATATTAATAATCCATAGAGTATTAGTTTAATTAGCTCACAACTAGAATAGTCATCTTATCATTCCATCCCGTTGATCAGATTGGTGTTGCCAGGTACTGAAGTTGACGCATTCCAAAATTGACTTATATATTGCAGTTATTGTATCTTAATGTATCGTACGGTGTGAAAGAAGGTGTTATATTTAAAATTAAACACTCTCCAGTCACAAACGTACAACAAATTAAGATTAAAACAATCATCTTGGATTTGATTTCGGCTTGATTTGAAGAAATGTCAACAATAAACAGAAAAAAAATTTTAATGATATTAATAATCCATAGAGTATTAGTTTAATTAGCTCACAACCAGAATAGTCATCTTATCATTCCATCCCGTTGATCAGATTGGTGTTGCCAGGTACTGAAGTTGACACATTCCAAAATTGACTTATATATTGC